GCAGCGGGAATCCGAACTGGGACCCCGCCGCGAGCTCAGGAATGTCGTTGATAGACGTAAATTCCACACTCGGGGGTACCGTAATAACAGCTTGCGGCTCCTTACGGAATCTCGGCTATAGACATAAATTCCACAGGCAGCGGGAATCCGAACTCGGACCCCGCATCCAAACTGCAGGATGTCTCCTGAGGTCCACAAAAATAATATAAGTATTTTTTCAGTAGTTTTTAGGAACTTAAGGAAAAATGTAAGTACCTTGCCGTGGGGAAAAATTAAGTTCTTTTTAAGTACCTTTTCGATACGTATTGCAATTCTTTGATTTTGGCACTGCTGCGCGCTTTACTTCGGCTATTCCTCGTGGTCTTTTTGGCTGTTTCAGTCAAATCTGGGGAAATGCCTCATTCTGCTCCCTTACAACAACTGCGCTCTTACTGGCTGACATTGCATAAATACGCCTGACGGACAACGCACATAGGGTTGCATAACTATCAGGCAATCGAAACTGAAGGCCCATTGCCAAATTCGAAAAATTACGGACCTTCCGCGAGATTTACGTACTTTTAAGGTACTTACGGACCGATCTTAATAAATGCGTATTTTTGCGGACTTTACCGACTGGTGGACACCCTGATTAATTGGACAAACGATTTTCGCTTAAACTACTATCAAATTTAAAAATGTTTTCTTCTCCTTTTATTCTTTTAAATTAAGTCCTGGATTTTACAAATCCAGGAAACATTTTATTATTTTAGAACTCCAAATGTCTCTGGTTATCTCTATTGCCTTCTTTGGTTCAAAATAGTGTGTACCATTGGAGTTCTACTGTAATTACTTAAAGCTACATAACAATTAATGCTTAAACTCTGAAATGGAAAAGAAAGGCAATGGTAAATGTGAAGAAAAATACATTATTAAAGATAAAAATTCAAGCCTAATTGATTTAAGAATGACTTACATGTGTATGAAGAGCAACAGAGGCTCTGCCAGCATACTGCGCCATTCTGTTGCGATAGTTAAGGTTATGACAGCATTCCTGGGTTTTTTGCTTGTTTAACAAATCACCATATGTTTTGTCAGCGCCTATACAAGCTGCTAGAAGTCTATGTACAATTATATCTGCATACCTACAACAACAAAAAACCCGTTAGTTCTTGCATATCCACAAAATGAAACTGAATTCTTTTTTGACTGACTAAGAAACTTTAACACAGGAGTAGAAAAGTTGAATGGAGTGAGACACGTATTACACCTAAGTAGGTAAAATTGCGTATCCACAAAATGAAGGAGAGTCTCTTTTCAGCTGACGCAGAGACTTTAATGCAGGAGTAGAAAAGTTTAATGGGGCGAATTGCGTAAGAAGGTAAAATTTCCTCAGTGAAAGTGACATCAGATGTAGCAGATGTCTTCTGTAGCAGTCCAGAGGTACATGAACTTATTTGGCAGGGATTATAAAAAGCAATCAAGCATTCTTGACGCCAGGAATTCTCACTTCTACACCCAGAAAAATACGAGCCTGAGCACTTCTGTTTCTAATATGCTTCAAGTTAAAAAGAGGAAAAAATTCACAGCTAAATACAGATCACAATCTATTTACTTTTCTTCTTTGACAGAAATATAGCTTACCGACGAATGGGAGAGGTGAAATGTGTGTAGATTGGTGCAGCTAGACCATAATGGAAAAACTCCTCTTGTTGGAGCATGCCACTGGCAAAATAGACGGCTTGCATCATACATCGAGTGGCTAGTATACGCAACATGGTATTGAAATAAGGATTGTCACTTTTATGGGCACGATCCAAACTGTCAGCAAGGGCTTTCCCAGATGAAACATCAATTTCAAAGCCCTAAGGAAATATATTGTAAAAATAATGTGAAACGACTGATGAAAAACAAAAGATATTACTTAAGGTACCTAAGTACAAGACTAAAATTATAAAAAAAAAAAAAAAATTATGAGACAAACAAAGAAAAAGAATTTTGATGAAAAACACTTTGCATTAGTTAAATAAAAAAAAATTCAGGAACAAAATCCGGAACACATTTGCTACTACTATGTCTTGATGGTTAGTTCTTCCTGGTGAAGAAATATAAGCTGTGTGTTTTATACGTCAGGCTGCTCCGGTTACAGCAGAAAGCAAAAGTTCACTGATTTAGGACAAGCAGCACTTCCAGTGTGTTTTTTTCACCAATGGCCACATGTGATCGGCACGGCCTGACAGAGGACATCATCACCAACTACATGTGACCAGTACTGCAATCAAGTTAAATTCTAATTACAAGGAAAGGATTCATACCTGGTTTCTCCCTGCTTTAATCAACGGGTCAAAGTTGGGTAGAGGTGGAACAGGATGTCGACGTAGTAAAGCACATTCCGGAAATTCTTGAAGTATTTTTTCAGCAACGGAAATATTTGCTAATAACATAAACTCCTCGACCATTGAGTTCGTTTCCCGCATTTTCTTTGCCTCGACATCGATGGGATCATGTGTTTCACTGTCAACTTGAAATCTAATTTCTGGTGAAGCAAGCACTAGCGCTCTGCAAAAGAAAAAACATGACTAGCCATCAGTTCACAACAATTTTGGAAGCAGGAATAGGAGTGCTGAAAATCTTGTCCGCGTGACCAGTAGGTTGCCTTTGATTGTGTTAGATGATTGTGCGCACAAAGAGGTCTTGTAAATTGGAGAATTAGCTTGCGTCATATGGAGAGTGGCATATCTTTTGCAAAAAGTGGACGTTTGTTGGTAAAGAGTAAAATAAAAATAAAAGTAAATGTGAGATCATCACTTCGAAAAACGGCAAGAGAAGGCTTTTTCAATGGTACGTAAGGGCCATTAGAAAAATAAAGAGGCTGATGATTTATTGCATCCTCGGCAGGAAAGAACAAAAGTAACCTTGAAAAAACCTCCTTTTAAACTTGGGGTTTTAAATTTGCTTTTGTCTTCTTCACACAGTGTTAATGAAAGAAGAGGGGCAAAATATTAGGAAAAATTATTCTTTTTATTTGTTACAGTGCCAGAATTAGGTGCTTTCTCAATCAATTTTCGTAGGATTCTTATAAACTAATGATCCTCTCTCAATCAATTTTCGTAGGATTCTTATAAACTAATGATCTTCTCATACACTGCAAAAAACCTCATTGTTAGTACTTTTGAGCGCTATTTTTGTGATAAGATTTAAAAAATGCTGTTGAGAAATAACTTTTTTGACCTTCAAATCCAAAGCATTGCACTGTGCTTCACATAAAGAGTTCAATGACGTGTAACAACTACATACATATCTCAAATGAACACTTTGTGCAATTTTTGAGTCTACAATCTTTTTGCATCTGTTAAAAAGACAATGGACCAATGAGCCTAACATGGATTCATAAATTTTACAAATGAGGGATAACCAAGGCGAGGAGGGCAAAGGTTTCACGCATGAATACAAACCTCACCTCTAATCTAAGAACACACACAACAAACAAAAAAAATAAATAAAAATAAAAAAAAAAAAAAAAAAAAAAAAAAAAAAAAAAAAAAAACACTCACCCATTTTCTATTCTCCTGCGTTTCAATATTTTTGCTAAACTGTTCAGACCTCGTAAAGAGACAGCAATTGAATGGTTCTGCGATTTGTCATCAATGATATTTTGAGCTTCTTCATAAGTCATTGCAGCTTTAGAACAGATGACACTTTTGTGGAATTTAGTATGAATGATTTTGGCATCTTTTGTTATTTCCCAAACGCACGAAAATGCAAATCGTTCTTCATTTCCTCGAAGTGAACAGAGGTTTGAACTCAGTAATTCTGTAATTAAAGGAAAAATTTTTTTATCAGAACACTGAAACTGACAAAGGTGCTAGAAAGAAAATTGAAATGATGAGTGAAATAAGATTGAATTGCAAACAGCCATGAAGCAATGATTACCAGGCACAACTCTCATTCTCAACTAACATCTCAAGCTCTTGTCACACTATCGAATCAGAGGATCAAATTGAAAAGGCCACTCGATGAATTGGATTGCATTTTGCAAATAGGAACCACTAACAATGCAATGATGCTAAGATTGTGCAACTTCATCCTTTGCAATAAAATTGCGGAAATTATAAAAAACTATGAAATTTAGATGGTAATTTTTGTCTTAAATTCACAGTTTTTAGCGAGTAAAATAGAAACTATTAATGGATAATCGGGGTTTTCCTCCAAGACAAAAGAAGTTGCACAATCTTAGCAACATTGCAATGCTAGTGGTTCCTTTTTGCAAAATGCAATCCAATTCTGCTTGCATGCTAATCAATAATTCATTTCCTCAGGATCTAGACTTGTAGATGGCCTGAATTGATAGTTGAACAAAAGCTCGTCTTCATGTGATACTAGATTGAGACAGTAGATGCCAGCAAGGCTTTTTTCTACTATTTCAGTTTTCATTTATATTTATTTTGATATAAGACTAGAAATGATTGACCTGGTTTATAGACTTGATGAGGGCAAGTATCTTAGAACTAACTTCACTAACTTCTTTCTGTTACATACTGTTGTCTGAAGATAAAATGATGGCTTAGATTGATCGTTTAACTGAAACCAAAAATATGCAGAATGGCAGATAAAAATCAGAGAGACAAGGAAAATTTGAAAAGTCACACCCTTTCACTTTGAATTTTAATTATTTTTTTTATTCTGTGGCATTTTATTTTTTTCCTGTCAATTGTTAAAATCATGAGGTTGCAAAATTTGGGAAAGTTCCCGCAGGATCCTGCACAATTTTGGAAAAGTGACATTTTCTGAAATCCTCCATAAAATCAATTTGAGACTAACCAGGGACCATGTCTATTCTTTTGTCGACAAGATACACGGTCGTGGCTCTTGATGCTGCCTCATTGTCCAGCGCAGTTCCTGGTCTGATAAAATGAGATACATCCGCAATGTGAACGCCAACTTCATAATTTCCATTTTCGAGAGGTCGACAATGCAAAGCATCATCAATATCAGTGCAACCGGGTGGGTCTACAGAGCAGATGTCGATCCCTCTTAAATCTACTCTTTGTTTGAGATCCTGCAGAATAAGACACAAAATTAAAATCTATCAAAAAAGGTGATCACAGATGAAAAGATACCACAGAAGCTAAGAATGACGTCTTCACTTGATATGGTGAAATCTTTAGACTTCTTTGTAGAAGATCACCTCATTTAATTGTTTTCGAAGCCCTTCAATGGCCCAGGCAGGGACCAAGAGTTCCTAGCCTTCTCTTTTGGCCTTCCCACTCCGAAAATCCCTATCTTTCCAAAAATATTCATGGTGATGAACTTTCCTGGAAAACAGACTGAAGAAAAAAAAAAAAAAAAAACTGAATTTTGACAGCATACATCCAAAATCAGTAAAAAAGCTTTTTTGCCACAATTTTGGACTTGCATTGCTAGCATGAATTTTTGCTTGAAATTATAAAACATTAGCTGTAATTTTTATTTTCTGTCTCTGGTCGACAGAAGTCATCACATACTTTAAAAAAACAAAATCTAATTGCAATAGAAAGCAGATCTCTCAAGGAATGATCGACAGTATGGTTGCTATATTTTAGAGAAACACTTTGTAAAGCCAAAGCTATTCGTTTTTTGAACTAAATCCCTAAACTTGAATAAAGAAGAAAAAAAATTTGGATCAGCTGATAAGAAAGAAGAGGTTAAATTCTTGTTTTGAACTTGGAACGATCCATTTCAAATTTTAAGTGATAAAAGGCTTGACCTGAAACCAAATTAGCAGTCTAATTATTTTATAAATTCAGTAGAATTTCCTCCATTTGAAAAAAAAATAATCAATCATACATTTCTGCCTACATTTTCAAAATGGCTCAGCCATTGAATGACAAAATGGAAGTTGACATAGAAAATAAAGCAGCAGTGTCAGACTCAGAGTTTGAAACGAAAAAAAATCGTGACCTAAAGGAAAATCATGCTAAGCACAAAATTTCAAGTCTTGATATTCAAACATTTTGTGACCATCTTGAAAAATTTGTTTTGAGAGCTCAACGATTCCGGAAAAAGATTTCAGGATATCCTCTGTGAGCAAAAATTTTCTATTCTATTTACAAAAGCTGTGCTAAAATCATGAGAAAGGATGCAACAATTGGGGCACCTTTAAAATGAAGAGCCGAAATAGGTCCTGGTCCTGTTTAAACCAACCAGTCTTGCCAAGATGATGTACTACCTCAACTTATACTTCCTTAGGATATTAATTGTGATATGCTAATAAGGGAAGAATACACATTTTTTTTGGCCCCTGACACAGCTAACTGACACAGCAACTCTTCAACTTCTTACTTTTCAAATTACTAAAATTTGAATAGCTATTCTTATCTTTTTCCGTCTGGTGAACTTTCAAAATATCTTTAATTAAAAATTTGGTGCAGTTGTGTTTGTGTGAAATTGTGCATGTATAACATGGGTGCAAGTCCTTGAGGGAGTAAAAAGGCCATCACCATGAAAATTTTTGGGGAGGAGGAGATTTTTAAAACGGGAAGGCCAAGAACTCTCTGCATCTTCAATGTATAATAATAACAAGCTCAGCTTGTTGATCCGTTCCACTGACTCAAAATTGGTGTTAACAGCAAAATTTTTCTTAGAATGTCTACTACCACTCAAAAACTATCTCTTTATTATTTCAGATCTCTTCAACAAAGATTTAACAATGACTTGCGGAACCTCGAATTTTTATTCATTGAAACCAAAGACACAGTTCGAAACATTCAGAAAATAAAAACCCAGCATACGTTTGTCAAAAAAGATTTGGGAAACACGCAGAGAATTCTGAAAAAGCTTAAACAGGAAGGTAAGTAAGAGTATTTGGAGTTGGAGATAGTTTGATAAGGCCATTGTTTATAGTTCAATTGTCTTCAGTTTACTATGATTTTTTGTACTTTCTGTTCTTATGTTTTCATGATGCACTAAAAAGCAAAAAGCTTTGAGAAAATAGGTACATCCTAACCTTTATTTATCAATAAGGCCTGGGTCAATCAATTTTAAACTTTCAGTAAGAGTAGGATAGAACAAGTCCGAAAAGAGACATTTTAAATTTTTGAACTCTGAACTAATCTCTAATCCTGGAACTCTTGAACACAGAAAGTAAAGTGGCCTAAAAGCCATTTTAAGCATTGGCTCCACCACGTATCAGCCAATGACAAGGAGGCAACAGCAGGGCGCAGATGCTCTGTTATGCTATGCACGACCCAAGATTGTAAAACTATAACTTTAACACACCCTCTCAAAAGCACCAGCTGAGGCTGCCAAGCCTACACACTACTCACAAAAGTTCTGACTTTCCTGCTCTCTGAACCATGTTGGTGTGTTTTGCAAGGAAAGTATCTTGTGCTTTAAACTCGGTCTAGTTGTCCACTGATTAAGAAAAAATGCCTAGCCTTACATTTCAAGAAGTTTTCATTCCATTAGATACCAAATGACTAAGAAAATCTTAACTGATGTAAATACATTTTACAGAGATTCGTGAGATTGAAGATAAAATTTCAAGATGCGATGCAAACTGTTACAAGGTCTGGGAAACATTGAAGAGAAGCAAGAACGTTGAGGGCCTGAGAAAGTTTTCAATAGACTTGCAGGTAAAAATGAGCTTTTCAACACAATGAAGCTTAACACTTTGAGGCGAATGAAATGGTAAAAAGACGCTGAGATAGACGCTACTGGATCAGAAAGTTCATACATGCTGTGAAAAAGCCATGAGCAACACATTTTAATTGATTTGATTTGCAAAGATCTTAAAATTTGGTACTTTTCTTATTTTTCCTGAATCTCCGACAATAAATTACTTCCTTTATTTCTAATTTTTCCTACTCCTAATCTCCTCATTTATTCTACAGGAGAAATGTGCAGCTCTGGAACATCTGAAAGGGCTTGTCAACAAAATGTTGAATGAAACCCCCGAAACTCCGCTTGCTTTAATCCAATTCCACTCGCCTCATGCAAAACTCCACGATAAGTCAGTGAAAAGTTTGACCTACGAGGCTCGCAAATTCTCCCGACCTTTACGAAGTAAAAAACGGAAGCAACCAGATCCGAACGATGTGTTTCTGACCATTGAGGACAATCCTTTGAATCTACCGTCACTGCCGATGGGTCCAGTAGCACTGAGCCTGACTAACAGCATGGTTTACAGTATGTCTGAACTTTCATGTATCACAGCATCGTCACATAGTTTGGCAAATACTATTGCCAGTAGCACCAACCGAAATGAAATGGTTCTTAATGACAATATGCAGACAGTTCTTGATGCCCTCTTCAATAACTTGAAGGAGGAAAATGATGGACAATATGCAGAAGTTACTGAGGGGCCAGCCAATTTTAATGAAAGTGCTAATGGGTTCGACTACATAAATTATGACCTGAATTTTCTTTGAAGATTCTACGAGTACACAATACTTTGTTTCCTATTTTGCATGAGTGAACCAATTTTTAGTTATAATTAATGAGCAAAGCAAACAAGGTACATTTTAAAGGAAAAGAAGAATAGGGAGTGAAGGCATTTTGAAAACTAAACTTACCTCAGGTGTAATGATCCAAGGCATTTTTGGAAGGAAACTGAGGACAAGATCAGAAAATTTGCTGTGCGGAACGTCATGTTCCAAGAGTAAAACCTCGTTTTCTGTTTCTTTGTCACCAATTTTACCAAGTGCTCGGACAAAATGACCCTGAAAACCCCAATAGACACGTTAAGTTCAGTAAGTATGAGTAAAGTTTCTACTTACTAGTTTACTTTATTAAAATTTCCTTGAGCACGCATGAGACCTAAAATTTTCAATAAGAAGGTACATCTACTCAAAAGTATGTTTACTTATTTTGTGCTTCAAAAACTATGATAGATAGAGCAAATTTTTTTCTTGAAAAATTTTCACTGCAAATTCTCTTGAAATCAAAAACATATGATATATTGGCTGGAAGAGAAAAATTCAAGGTTCCGTAGCAAAATTTCTTGCCTTTTCCAGGTTTCTCACATTTTAAGAACACCCCTGGCTGGGTAAAATCCATATACACAATGCATAATCTGGTGAGCTTTTTTAATACAATGGCTCCATCTTACTCTTCATTTGATGATTTTAGAAAATACTAATTGGTTAATATAAGACTTTCTTGACCAAAAATTTGTTGATAAGTATCGTTAAAAATATTACAAGTAAAACATACTAATGGATATCTAGAAGTTCTAGGCCAGGAGTCAATAGCTACAATGATTCTCTGAGATACAAGAAGCTCATACTGTCGTGTTTCAATTCTGATCTTAGGTATCTTGCGATCTGCTGGGACAAAGATATTGCGAACAGACTGAAAAAAAATAAAAAATTTTAGGTTAGTGGCAGGAAAGAGTACAGTAGCAGAATCAACTGTCGATCAATCAGAGGAATACATTTTTGCTTTGCCTTTACTTCAAAATTCTCAAATTCCCTGACTTTTCTGATCTCGGATCAAAACCTCCATTTAGATTGTTTTCCCTAAGATTATGCTGACATTTACTAAACCAAAGACAAAATCTCCACTTCTAGATATTCAATTTTTGGAGGAAGGCACTCTGATGGTTGTTTACACTCTCTCAAATGGCACTAGCTGAAGCTCTTGAGCCAACGCGCTACTTGCAAAATTCCCTGATCTTTCCCATGAATTCCTTAACTTTTCCAGGTCGCCGTATATTCCCTGACTTTCTAGGTTCTTTTAATCTTGAATCTTTGCTTATTCAGATAAAGACAATTAACAAATAAAACATTTTACGTCATGAAAAAATTCGAGAAATTTTAAGAAAATTCTCTATATCTACAACCAGTATTCCTGCTTTTCATTCATCTTAACCCTCAAAATATCTCTAAAAAACTGTGAATAATCAAACTGAAGATAACCAGAGAAAAGCACTCCACAAATCATAGAGCCTAACGTAATTCTAATAGTCTAAAAAATGACCTACTTTTATGAGTGATCAGGTCTAATCTATTGGTGGTGAGAGAAAAAGCATCAATAGAAAAAATATACCTACCCCAACCATTGGGTTTGCTTGTAAAATGCCACAATATTGTCTCCATTTACGCCTGACAATACCGACTATTTTACCGGTAGGCCGCTTTTCCACAACTTTGACTTCTTTGATGAGGTTTTCCTTTTCGTTCAGCTCCTCTGTAATGACACAGCAAAGATTAATCATCGTAAAGACTCCTTGTTCTACCTTCAGGATTCCCTTGTTAATATTTCAATGATTGAGTCCTTCAACACGCTAATTCTTGTTTCTACACAGCCGAAAAGCATAGAGCAGGTTCTACACAAACATTTTGTAAACTGTTTACTAGGCTGCTGGGCTATGGAAAAAAGTCGTACAAGCAGCATTCAAAACTCACCATTGAGTTTTAGGAGCCATGTGGAGCTTCAAACTCGATTTATAGGGGCCAGGTTGACTTTTTGCCTACATATCACGGCGCATTTAGTGAAAAGGTAGACGCAAGATATTTTAGTTACAGAACTAGTAACAGTAATTGGGTGATATTTTGAAAAATCACAAAACAGAAAAATGAGGATGGGGGGAGGGATTTCTAGGGGCCACATTGGCGCAGAGCCTTCATTTTATAGGCCTCTTGACCAATTTCTGAGGCGCATTTGACGCGTTGGCGTCTATGAGTTTTGAACACTGCGTGCAAGCATCCGAACTCTGTCAACTTTATTCCAAGAAAATACTTACTTTTTAATAAAGTTATGAACATTTTTCATTGAAATTTTCAGACACTTTAGGTTGTGAACAAAATTCTCTGAAAATTTGAAAGAAAAACACTCACCAATTTAGCTGAAAATTCGTGATTTTTCAAGGGAAGTTTGGCACTGCCTGAAGGTTCATACAGCGTTTTTTCTAGCATGACAGTTTTGGTTGGCATTCAATTCAATATAATACTATTTAAATAATTAAAACTTTCCACATACCAGGATCAGCCGTTTCATCATCCTGAAGTACAATGTCAGAAGGAGCTGTCCATTCTGCTTCCGGTAGCAATTCTACAGCAACTGTATCACCATCGATAGCTCTATTTAAACCAGCTCGTCCTTGAACTAAAATCTGAGAAAAGGAGGAACGATCTTCAGATTCAATTCAAAGCCCTAAAGCACAACTAAAACAGTAACTTATGTCAACGACAGTAATCTCTCTAAGCACTTTCTGCAAGAGCATCTGCATGTTTTACTCAGCATGGGTTAGAGATGCAATGGCCCAACTTTTTTCCAACAGCAGACAGAATCATGTAAATATGATCCAGACAGCAGGGATTACTAGAAATGTTTCTTTTTTATTTAAACAAAGCAAGAGAGAATCAGTGTTGGCTATCTAGGTATCTTTCTTCCAAAGACGCACAAGTTGATTTCTGACTTAATACAAACTTATTACTGGTGGGAACTTAAATGGATTTTGAATTGCAAAATTTGGAATGATCATCTCAAAATTTCAGACCTAAGCATGGAATCCATTTGATCTTTTTGACTAACTGTTTTTCCATTTGAGTAGACATTGCATTGACACTTACCGGTTTCTCAAATTTTTCTGTGTTCACCTGCCCTTCAAGGTAGTTCTCTCTAGACGCTTGGAAAGAGCCTTGGATAAGTTGTCCATTTTTAATGCCATCATGAATTTGCGCTGGAGTGAGATGGGATGGATAAGTTGCATCTTTTTCAGATATGTCTGATGTAAAGTTGCGCTTCGATAACTTATCACCGATACCTTTAGCGTCTGTCAATTGTTCCACATAATCTTCGACTAGATAGAACAAAACCAAAAAAAGCCATTCACATTAAAAGTTTGCAGCGCTGAAAACAAAACTTGAGCTAAAATATATTACTCTCTGTGTAAAAAGTCTACAGGTCTTTTTCATGGATTTCACTGTATTTGGGGCTGTAATTATTTACTGGTTCAACAGCTCTTGAAATACCCATCTTGTGCTTTTCCACCACCTAGAAATTAGTTTCTGGCAATCTGCGAAAAGAGAGATAGTCTTCCAAATACTTTGAACTTTCATTTTCATGTTATTAGCCATGGTTTGCAATTGTGGGGGAACGTAAAAAACAATGCTCCTACTCTGTTTTTGTTGTTAGTTTCCAAAATGGTGTGGGAGTTTCCAACGCACTCTCCACTGAGTGTTACTGCTTATAGCTTATTTTACCTTAAACGAGTGTGACCTTTGGAAAATAAGGCAAAACAAACTGATGGCAACCAAAATATATAAATAGTATCCTATGCTCAGCGCTAAGAATCCTCACCAGAAGATGCAATGAGACCGCTTTTAATGGCCTCTTCTCTATTCTTCCGGTCATCGGTTAGCAAGATCACTTTTATGCCTTTTCTTTTGTCTTTTTGGGTAGAAAAAGCCTTGAGATGTTTTTGATACCAAAGAGCTGCCGTTCGAATGGCTCGATCATTTCTGTCGTTGATACTTTCTCCCTGTTCTCTTTCGATATAAGTGTCCCTGAAACAAAGGCATGAGGTTCAATGTACATTAAGAGTCAATGTCGCAAGAGCTCAGGTTCCATCTCAATGAGGGTATTGCTTTTTTTGAGAGAAATCACCACCTTATAGTTTAACTTATTGGCTCGACCATTGAGAACAAAAATTGTGCAATTTACAGAGATAAGAAGAAATAAATTCAACTCTCACCATAGTGAAGTTACTAAAGTAACTGAGGCAAACGCAAAAATTGTTATTACTTTGACTTGAAAGCATTTTACGGGACAAGCACTGTCTGCTGTCAAACTTAAATGAAAATTAATAAAAAATTTATTTTCTTAATGAGAAAACTTGATTGGTTACAAAGGAATGGAAATTGAAAAATTCATGGGAAAGCATGTACAGGTGCAGTGACTAGAGAGGGAGGGGGAGGGTAAACTCAAAGCCATGATGCATTAATGAGGAAGTGCTGTAATTTCATAAAACGGCTGAGGCCTCGGATGAAAAAAGAAGACAAGTGACATTTTGAAAGAAAAAAATTGAGCAATAAGTAAGTGATTTTAAATTAATTCGAAATAATCTTTAAAAAAAAAAAAAAAAAAAAAAAAAAAAAAAAATTGATATCAGAACCTCAGTTTTTAGCACTGCACGTTTACATGTCCATGACCCATAAGCCCTGATGTGATTGTCAAACTTATTTTCCTCAATATTTCAATAAAGTATTTACCTCCTATATTCCTTGGAAAACATGAATATTTATTCTTCAATTATTACACATTAATAGTATAACTATGCACGCAAAACTGAACAAAATATACTGACTCCTTAAAACTCTTTAATAAAAATATAAATCTTTATCATCCTTCAATATTTTGATTGAAAACTTGAACACAATGTGGCTTTACTGAAATTTAAGCGATTAAAAAATTCACTGATGATTTCCAAAACCGACAGAATCAAAAAGAGAGATAAAACTTACTGATGATGTTCATTGACAAAGACATAAAATTTACGCCTGCCATCACCTATAACATCTTTCAAGCGTTTGTAAATGGTTGAGCTACGGTGTTTCACTTCATCTATAACAGTTTGTAGGATAATGACATTTTTCAGGACATCTTCTTCCAGAACATCGATCTGCAGAAAATTATAACAGGGTAAATGCAATAAAAGGATTTGAGAGCAATGGATACCAACACAATCTAACTAACTTCAATCTGACTTGAGGTAGACTGAGTACCTTATAATGATTCTGAATATCAAATAAAATGACTGGCACAAGAAAGCTGCAAAGATAGTCCTGCAAAATAAGTTACATTCATTACTTCCTACGACAATATTTTAAAATATCTCTCTGGCACAAGAAGCTTCCTGGGTGAAACAATTTGGAGAGAATGTAGTTTGCAAATAGATTGTTTAGGCACTTTTATACCAGTCGATACCTATAAATAAAGCGAAAATATCTCTGGATATGTCCCACTGTAGGTGCATTAGGAATGTAATTCTTGCTACTTTAAGTCCTAAGTATAAGTTTATTTTTCTAGAGTTTTTTGGTTATCATTTTTTTTTCAAAGTTTGATTACCAGAGAGATGCTTGAGAGAAAAGAGATTTTCTTAAAGAGTTTTGAAGGGCGATACCTCCAATATTATTGAGAGCATCCTAGCAATCCTAGCAATTGGACAGATATTACCATTTTTACTGACATACAATCAGTTCTGTTACTAGCATGACTGACCCATTGTAACATTTAAAAGTCTCTGATTATGTTCCTTTTTCTTTGAGGAAAACTAATCAAAATGTTTTATTGTCATTTTGTGTTATTTTCTATAGAATGAGTGAAGAAAAATTCTCAGAAAATTTAATTCGAAAGTTGTTTTGCTTTCTTTTGAAGAAAGAGACATAGGTGGAGATTTATACAGCGTTGTAATCTAAGATACACAGTTTTTGACTTTGATCATCGATATTTTGCCTTCATTAATTTCTTTTCCATGGATGGTCACTTCGGTAGAAATAAAGCTCAGCAACTTAGTGTTCCAATGCATTGCCCTAAGCTAAACACACCCTTGCATTCGTCTTGCACTGAAACTTGGTGAAGTTTATGAAGTGACTCAAATTCTAATTTTTTTATTTCCTGACTTCAATTTTCTTCCAGAATAGTGTGGCCTTAGCACTATTGTACCATCCTGTTACTTGCGGTGCTTGAGTCACATTTTCTGTGTTTTTACTTTCATTATTTGTCCAGAAGTAAATTTGGTATCATTTGTTTTTGAAAAAAAACCAGTCAAAACTTGGAAAAATTGTCAAAGCGCCATCTATTGCATGTAAAATAATGCGACAGTAATATTTTGTCTGTTAGAGGGGGTGAAAAGAATACTGGCACTAGCAATGATTTAGAAACGAAAAGACATACCTGATCTAGAACCACATTTGTGTCCAAAACTAGATAGTGACCATAATTGTGCTTAGTGCAAGCAATGGTTGGATTTTCATCTAAAACTTGATCGTCTGTTTTTGCACAGCATTCCGTACAGACTTTGGAGCCACACCATATATCTTCACGTAGATAGTGCTCTCTGACGATCTGCAACATTAAGTTGAAGAGGCTCAAGAATTTAATAACATAAGGTCTGAAAATCTGACGATTCCCTGCATTTTAATTACTTCAAGATCTTGCTCTTTCTTCCAATAGAAATCAGTATTGTTTCAGTGTGCCTTCAGATGATTCGCCCTCGGTTCTTAGCATGGACGAACTGGCGTACAATTTATGACGTTAATTATGTAAAAATCTTCACAGATTGTGACTTTTCGGCAAAATGATGCAACAATGCCTCCTGTTCATGGGATTAAAGAATCATTCTTAATAAAAAAAAATAGTAAAATTCACAAAAATGAAGGCTGTATTCTTCTTGGAAAGGAAACGTCGCTTTCGATACAGAGGTTGATCACGGTGACTCAATTGATGTTCATTGAGGGTTCTTTAAAATTCAATGAACATAATTGGAGACTATCTTTAGGAATAAAAAGTAACTACTTCTTTAACGGCTATGAAAAAGACATCAACTGCCTTCGCTGTTATGTACTTAGGTGTTACAAGGCAGTGTATCGTTATGATGCAAAATTACTCGCAATGTCTTAGTTCTAAAATAGAATTAACATTGGTCCACATACCTTCAGGATATTCCCTTTCTTGGTTTTGCGCAGAAATGTTTTGGAAGTTAGCATGTTGAAAAAAGTCTAATTAATGCCTGGCTATCACCATTTCCATGTGCTCGTACTGGCTCGGCTCGTGCTCGTATCAAAAGTGCGGTGTTTACTTTTCATATTTGAGGTTAGGTCGCGTGTTTCTGTTGATATGAGAAGTGTCGTGGTCGTGGTCGTGTCATGTGCAATTTGATAATTTGATTCTCCAACTTGCAAACTTTCCTCATCAAAATGAAGAGAAATATAATTTTAAAAGAGCTAATAGGAGCTCCTGACAAGGAAAATGACGAAGACTTTGACGACAATATATTCAAGGGTGAGTTATTCATATCATTAGCCGCAGTTTTCAGGCGAGACTCATGCATGTTCATTTTAGGGCGTTCTTTGAAGGACTGATCGAATGAAGTAATTATTTGTTCAGTTTGAACTCTTCTGGTACAGAATTTCAGCATCTGAAATTAAAAGCATTCAGATGTTTCAGGAAAAATAAATACCAAGGACGACAATTGGATTCAATCAAAGTTAGCATTTCGACGTATAAGTCGGCAATCGCATATCTCGTTTGTGATGTCTGGAAACTTCCACCTCTATGTTATTTTTTTAAAGGAGAACAAATTGACATCATTCCTTGAAGTTTTTGCAGAATTTTTTTTGCACAGAGAAGAAAAATCATGGCAGTTTTAAAGAATTGCCGTTGAGGAGTTTTCCGTCTGAAAGATGAAGCATAATGACAGGAAGTCTGCGATGTCCCAAACCGAGTTATGTGATTGCTGACTTAAATCGTCGATTTTCTTCACATAAAACAGGAGATGCTTTCCTCATTTTAGCTCTAAAATTAGCTAAGTATACAGATTGAGATATTGGGTTCTCTGTTGCAATCTTGAGGCCCCCCCATTTTCTTGTGCGGTCATTCGCAACCAGCTAGTTTTGGGGTTAAGAAGCCCCCACAACCCTGAAAGTACTCAAAACTTGCATTCTAGCAACCTCTAACATTGTCTGTCTTTTTTCAACAGGAGATGATGCTTACAAAGATGTCAACACTGAACTTCTTGATGAAGATCATGATGATTATGGCGATATAGGAAGAGGAAACTTGCGCACCTCTGCACCTTTGGATGAAGATCTGAACGAAGCATATCAAGGGAAGGCTGTGTCAAGGCAGCGCGCTTTCAAGAATTATGTGAACTCAATCGACGCTGATGATGAAGAAATTGAAAGCGGCAGCGAAGGAGAAAGTGGCGACACGTCTGGTGATGAAGATGAAGACACAGAAGACTGGAATATCGGTGGCAAGAGCAGCGCTAGCAGAGGTGTTGCATGGGCAGACGAAGACGATGATGAAGATGAAGATGATATTGATGAAGATGGAGGAGGAGAACAAGGAGATGATGAGGAAATGGATGAGAAAGGGTATGAAGCGTTTTGATAATACAAGCTGAATATCCCTTGCGAAGACAATTGTTGTTTAATAATCAAACAGTAGACTCTATGCCAAATAAGTTTACACACTTCTAGACTGCGACAAAAGATCGTCGGACGTCACTTTTACATGTAAAGTAAATGTAAGGAGCACAATGGTGGATCTTCTGTTACAGTCTAAAAGTGTGCAAACTTATTTAGTGTGGACTCTAAGATATTGCGCATGCATTTTGGAGAATAAAACTTTTGGGCCTCTTACATTTTGTCCAAAACCAAACATAAATGAGTACCCATAGTGTTATATAATTAAAATCCTGGGCACAGATAGGACATCTCCTAGTTGCGGTGTCTCAGAATCTCATAAATTATCAGTCACCATCCCCTTTTTTTCTCACCCTCCTTTTTCTAAGATTTCAAAATGAATAAAATGGCAATTCAAAATGCCTTTGAAAATAATTTGAGATCATAATACCTGATAACTTTTCGACAATACCATTGAATATTGCATGGAAAGACCATGATGTTTAGCAACTAACTTTAACTGTTGAAAGCATTCAAGCACTTAATCAAAGCATTTAAGATCTGAACTTCTTTTTTATTCAACAGTATGTCAGATGCTAGTTCCATAGAAGATGATCTAGGAAGCGACAATGAGAGGAAATCTGTCGATAAAGATTTTGTAGTCTACTCAAAAGGTGTGAAAAAAGAAACTGATGAAAAGAAAAAAGGCGGTGCAATTTTAAAACAACAAGGTAAGTCTCTCTTAATTTTAATATATTTAATTTACATCAGTAAGTACCAAAATTGTGACAAAGTATCAAAAAAGATTTTGAATAAATGAGATAATAATATTTTCAATTGTCAAATTATTGATTTTCGCACAAATTTCTGTTTCAAGATTTTCTTGATACGCTGAGGGCAATATCTGTTATTGTCCGACATAAATAGTGGTTCATTGTGAAATATTAATCATTTTCCATTAGCTTTGACAAAATTTCCATCCAAAACTGTTCTTAACATTTCAACAAGGATACCCAGAAAGAATTTCATGATAAAAATTGTTCACCTCTCTTGGTGGTATTTTGGTATTTGTTACCAAAAACATATTTCATGGATATAATAAATAAGAAAGATAAAAAGAAACGGAATGCTCGCGAATAATGATTATGATGGATGAAGCATTTACCTTTGTCACATCTTTTTGACGCTTTATTTTGAAGGTAATGGATGGTTAGGTTTGAGATTCCATTGCGTCATGAGTAAATGAAAATCTTGATTTAACTTTGGCAGCATTATTTTTCCAAAAGCTTTCTTGCTGGAAGGATTTCAATTTTGGCATCAAAAACTAGTCCATTGTTTCTGAAAATTAGGTGTAATTGTATGCTCCAGCTAGCTCCGGTAATTTTGAGCAACTGCTTTTCTTAATCTTGTCTTCTTTTTCATCCTTCCAGAATTGTGGGAAACATTGCTTGAAAATCGAATAGTCCTTCAAAAATGTTTACTAGCAGCGAACAAACTTCCAGTGCACGAAGAATTTCCAGATTTTCAAGCAGCTTGTGGAAATGAATTCAAGGATAAAATGAACAATTGCTGTGATAAATTATGTCAAGTCTTAGAAAAATTGCTGAAATTTCAGGTAAGTTTTGTTTGGCTCATTAACTTATCCCAATATTTTTAAACTTTAAAAAATTGGTCAATTAAAATTTAGTAAGTCTGCAGGAATAATTACTTCAAAAATTGTTTCTTCACTTCAAAGATAACCTTTTTTATTTTCTGGCATAGGAGAGATCAGATGCGACTGTTTTGACAAGAGAAACTTAATCCCTCGGAACTGTTTCCCAGTTATCATTTTTAGGAACTTTTTCATAACATTTATTGATGTTTACTGAATATTTCAGACAGAAATTTTAATGAGGAAACATTTTATTTCTTTCTGTAATTCAATTCCTCTCTAATGGATCCATGAAATGATTTTGTAGTTCAATCCATTGTCGGTTTGTAAAATTGTTTGTTTTTTACTTTCCTCCAGAACAAACTCATCGATGCCTGTCCAGATTACAAGAGAAAAAGGTAATTATGAAACTCAGTAATATTACTTCAGCCTTTCATATCATTATAAAATTAAACTAACGCAGTTGAACGAAGATGCTTCAAGTTGTAGCCAGTTTTATGCCACAGTTTTTAAGTGATGAAAGACAAAGAACTGATCTTGAAAGCGTTCAAAAGTAAAAATTCATTATTAAAGTTTTATTCAAAGATGATGCAAATAACCTTTTTCAACAGACCTGTTTAATTAATCAAAGTGGTAATATCAGTCACTGAATCATGCTGCAAGCTTAGTGCACTTATCTCCTTTTTTCTATCTGAGATAAAAGAGGTCTACTTTTTGAGTTGTTTCATCTATAAGAGATGTTCCTTTCACTAACAGCTAGGAAAACCACTTTTCTGAAATAAATGTCACACTACATATTCCTGGCTGGAATACTGCTGGATCGTATAAAGTAGGCTGTGATAGAGGTGTAACCTGCCTGATATAGCTGAAAAAACCATAATGCAATCTACTATCATAGGACATTGTTTAATGACATTTTTGCTTAGTTTTCCAGTCATTTAACTGTGAATTTTAAACATTAATCTCTTGTCTACAGAAAAAATCACCTTGGACCTAATGAAGAATCTGGAGATCAGACTCCATTTAAAAAGCAGAAATTGAAAGTTTACGAGAACTCGCTGAGTGATGTGCATGAAGATTTCAAAGACTATAGGGACACTGAAATTCAAAAGTGGAATGACAGAACGAAAATTTCATCAGGGAAGTTTGCAACCTCCAATTTCTCTGCTTTTGACCAGCCGACATTGAAACAGATTGAGCAGATTTTAAGTGATAAGCCAAGGCTCATTCGACGCACACAAACCAAACGAACCAAATACAGAATTTGTAGTCTCCAATCCAGAGATCAGGTATTATTTTTTGTAATTTTTTTTCTTTTACACAAGTGTTGGTAGGACTAAACTCTGTCAATTTTTAAAAAAATTGGACTTTCCAGACAGTTGACTCTTTTGTGTTGTTTTTTTTTATTTATACATACATGAAAGTTAAACAGTAAAGAAACTTATTTCTAACATGCTCAAAAAAAGGATCAATATGTTCGGAGAAAGCATTTCCTTATTACAGCCTTGTCTTCTGAGAAGAAAAAAAAAGAACAACCACTCTGACGTCCCTCAAAAAATAAATAAAATTGCTAAAAACATATTTTTTCAGTATCTCCTTCAGTCAAAAATTGTAAAAATCATTTAGATTGGCTTAAGCAGAAACAGCTCAACTACATCCAACATTGTTTAATTTTTTCGTGCTATTTTCTAACAGAGAACTGAAGATTATACTGCTTTGAAACTGTCACTGAGTTTTCCTAAGATAGTAAAGAATACACCCACATGATTTCAAGTCAGAATGTAGCTTTATTTCTTTGTCCGAAAATAAACATTAGGAGCAATTAAGCAATGTCTGATGTAGTTGGTACTCCTATGAAATTAGGCCATGTAATCTATTGTATTTCATTGTCTCATTCACAATACAATCAACAAAAAAATTCTACCCTCAATTTTTAAAAAGGAGAGATAATTACTGTTTTTTCAACTCATTCTGTGTCTACAAATTCCCCGTTTTTCTATTGATGCTTCCTCGGTCCGCATATCATATGTATAATTTTCTTTTTGCATTTTATAGGAAGAGGAAGACGAAGAAGGCATCAACCCCGAGATTTTTGATGATAGTGATTTTTACCACAAATTATTGCGAGACCTAATTGAACGCAAATCGGGTGAAGTTACAGACCCAACTCGTCTTGGAAAGTAAGTTCTATCATCTATTATAGTGAAGATATTTCAGAATGAGGACTTCAAAGAGAGACCATCCAATTGGTTTGCCAACTGCCCTTGCCTATCTAAAATACATTTTTGAATTTACGCACTAAAAAACGTAAAAATCCCGCTTAGGAGTTCCTTTTAATCATTTCCCCTTAAAAATCATGTCCTACATGAAATTTTGATTAGGAAACATACATCATGATGCTCGACTTGGCACCTTGTCTAGTGGTCCATTGTAAATATTATGCACAAAATGGCTGCAGAAGTTGACTTTCCTCTACTACTTTGATTTTCTCTCTTTAAGTTTGCCGTGTCTCTTGTGCGTAACAGTCCTTTTCTTGATGTTTGCAAGATCCTATTATAATCTGAGATTCAATTTCAGTCATCAGATACTGATTCTGCTAAAAACAGCTGATATTTTTTCAAGGGTACCTATCTATGATTTTTAAGGAGAACCATTTTATTTTTTTCAGCCAATGGATCCAACTTCAAAAACTAAGCAGTAGAATGAAGAAGAAAGTCGATACGCGTGCCAGCAAAGGACGAAAGCTAAGGTTTGTCGTTCATCCAAAATTAGTGAATTTTATGTCTCCTATTGAGTCTGAAGGTATCAATGAAGAGGCCACTAAAGAACTGTATTCTTCCTTATTCGGGAAATTCAAGGTGTGAGAACACCCTGATTTGTTGCCCCTGTCTATCAGTTGTTAATTTTTAGTTCTCCCTTTTTAATGCAGTTAAGTTATTACAAGTTTGAAGTTTTGTAATAAAACAGCATAAAAATTAAAATGGACTACCTACATTTATCATTTACTACGCTGTCAATCCCTGTGAATCCAGGATCATCAATTTCTTCTTTTCCTTTTTTCCAAACACCTATTTTCAGTACTTTTTCTACAAAATGCTCACAAAGATTGCTCTAAACATTTACTATCAGCCCAGAACTTTGTTGTCAGGAAAGAATTGAGTTTGGACTTTGAATGTTTCAGACAGCCTTCTGGGACTCACTCACATAAGTAGAAAAGCAACATTGTATCTCTTGATATTTCAAGCAAAACAATTAATATAAAAATAAACGTTTCTTTTCTTCTTTATTTCATATAATTCAGAGCGCTTCCAAATAATGTACAAAACAAAGAGGTAAAACAAACACTTTTTAGAAAAATTTGAAGAAAAACTGTTCAATAAAAAAATAATTGTGACAGAAAACTTAGTACATAGTCAACAAGAGAAAAAGTTAAATAATTTGACACAAAATACTAGTTAAAAATCCAACAAATGTAACAAAGCCACAAATATTTATGATACGGCAGATATCGCCAAGTGTCAGCTTCAACCCTTAAATCTATTTATAAAAATGGAAATATCCTGACTTCTGAAAAATTGGGAAGTATGTAATGTATACATATTGAATCATAAACCTAAGAAATTTTCTAACACATTGCTCCCTTCAAATACACAACCCACTTCTTAAAAAAAAACAGGTAGCTAGATTTGTAGTGAGGGGTTCTGCTTACAAAATTGAAATTGTTTGTACTACTTAACTAAAGCTTTTACAATAAATTTATTCTGGAAAAATACTGCCATTATGACATCATCAGTTACAACTGGTGATGCCAGTAATTTCACCAATACCATTACCAAAACATTCCATTTTACTATTTAAAATAATCCTTACTCAGGTTCATGCTCTGTTGACCATTGAATCAACCCCTGACATACTTACACTAGCAAAGAAACCTACTTATAGGTTGCTCAAATCACTCTGAAACTCAAATCAACAATAATCTTCAGCTATTTGGGCTCAGTCTTGTAAAGTAGGTACATGTTTGCTGTTTCCATGACACATTTTTGAAAAAACGTGACTTTCAAAAAATATCGGGAGAGAGGCTTCGCTAAATCAACTGAGCCCATGGAGGAGTCATCGGTTGAGGGTTCTGCATGTAGGACATGATGACGGCAAAAATTGATAACCTGTTGAAAAAAAAAATAAACTTTAAAATTTTTACTAAAATTGTATTGGCAAAGTGATAGCAAAAAAAACTGAGGGTCGCATTCTCAGTCATTCCTCAGAGAGTTCCTTTCTGAGAGACCTCATACAGACATGGTTTAAATTGTAGCTGAGGAAGATTAAAAAAAGCCTTGAATATAAGATCATTGAAAGACACTTTTTGAAAACCTCCGTTCGAATCTGGTGATTTGATCAAGACCTAGATCCCTGGTGAAAATTGCAAGGAGTGTCAAAAATATGCCAGGCTGAGCTAAAAAATTATTTATGTGAGTGATTTTCAATTTACAAGGTAATAGAATTTGATGATTTGCCGCAAAAGTTCCGTGACATTATCTGAAAATTAAAAGTGGCAAAAGCACTATATAATGAATAAAGTCATCAAGACTGATGCATGTTTCTCAGGAGTCCGGATTTGTACTCCTCAGACCCCTTGCCATTGCCATTTATAGGCACAGACATCAATATTATATAAAAAACAGTACTCTGTGGGTGCCTGAAAGGATTTAAATAACTTACATGAAGCTACTGAGGATCTGCTTAGCATCATCGTTCACTCTAGAGTTAGCAAAACTTATGCATGAGCAATATAGCGCCATCCATGCACACCATTTCAACTGTAACAAATGATAAAAAAGCTAATTACACATGGTATTAATAAATCATACAGATAGAATACATAATAGAGAATTAAAGAAATTATTAGAATTGAAATGGCTCAGTCCATCTATACTTTGCAAAGAACTATCGAAAAAATCGGCATCCCTAAAATCAGCCATTATGGAATTTAATTGAGTGGCTGTAGATTATTGAGACTAAGAATTTTACACAGAGAGATAATCGATGCCAAAGTACTATACCACTTATCTCCATTACCGTGTTTCAAAACGTTTTCTCCTATTTTATTTCTTCAAAGAAAAACAAGCCACTTTATAGTTTGAAATTTATTAAAAATATTCTACTTACACAGAAGAAAAATTAACGATATTTTCAGGGAATTACACTGACTAGTTCTCCAAAAAAATAGAAGTATGACCGGAAGTCTACAACGTCGGAAACACAGATGTGTGGTTTCGCACTTTGGCCACCATAATATTTTTCCATGCGTCTTGTGCTGCACGGTCTATGAGATAAACTTCACCTAGTCAACGTTGTATTTTGGGGTGAAGGGTGAATGTCCCTGACTTACTACAGGGACATTTTGTACTTCAGAGAACTGCATCATATTACAAATATAATAAAGAGTTATTTAAGAAACTCTAAAAGAATTTACCCGCATCATCAATCCAACCATACTGAATATCATGCCGAGAAGGTTCATACAGTCGTAGGTAAGGTCATCTGCAGCATTGCTGTGACCCGCTGGAGGTTTATACCTGTAATCAAGAAATTCATTTGGTCTCAATTAGCATCAAGCAATAGTAAGATTAGAAAAAAACATTGCAGTGTTTCAAGCTTTTCCCTTTTAATTCATTTTTCCAACAGCAAACTGAATGGCTCTGGCTTAAAGTCTGTTATTGAGATCAACGTGAAAAACTAGGCAACACTATACAAAAATTCATGAGCACCTTTAAATTTTCCAATGTTCTAGAGGATTTTCAGCTACATGGTACCGCAATAAGTGGGCATGTCTTCAGGAGAACAGATATGACCTTCGCCTCTTGCTTGGTAAGCAATGACTGGGTATTTTTTAACAGCCGATTAATGTGCTCTTTTCAATTACACCTATGGACTTCAATTTTGACTGAACATCAATATAATATGGCTTCCTAGGTAGGTACCTAACAACTTTATTCATGCCTCCTCAGAGATGTGCCGAGGACAATTTTTAATGGTAGACACATTTCTGCAGCAGTAGCCATTTCAGAGACTCTTGGTTCATGAAAGATACAGATTTTGCCATGCGATTTAAATGTACAAGCAATGAACCCGATGCTACGTGCTGCCAAGAGGGCAGATAATGTGACCTGCTAGATACTGAGTGTGACCGCCTCGGAGATGTGCAATGTTGTGGCGCAATGCAGTTACACCCCGCTCCACAGAACGAGAAGTGCTGAGATTTTAAAAATAAAGCCCCATACTATCTTAGACCGGTAATTTTAAAATCTCCGAGCGGAAAGTGTTCCATCAGGCTATCTGAATTGGTAGACCGTGAGAGTCTCCACATAATAGCGATTAAGGCACTGGTGCTTTTGGCTGAAATTCTGCTTAGCTGAGGAACAGAGCTAGGAATTTAATGACATTGATTAAGTTGGAAATGGTGTGATAGTTTTAAAAATGGAGCTAGAAATTACCTGTTTTGTTTGTCAGGTCTGCGTGGATCGGAAACATTATTCGCTGCATGCATGGTCAAATCGTCGATTGGAGTTTGGGGCAATGCACACAAGAAGGACAATATCGGGAGTAAAAATAAGGTTTAAAAGAATTCAAAGGACGGAGGGCTCACTAAAAAGGAAATTTTTCACCTTCAACAGATAGGAGTTTAGGACCCTTATCAGTGCAGTGTGACAAATCAACAAAAACTTTGCCCCATCTGACGTCATGCGAATCCTCTCAAGTGAGGTTATGTTGATATCAGATTGTTTACATTCACCCGAAACTCCTTTTTGATAGAGAGGAATCTTTAATTTATTGAATAACATTGAATTTAATCGATTATACTGCACCCTGTTAAATTTTATCATTTAATTTTTTTAAATACTACATCATTTTTCGTCACATCATTTTTTAATTACTGGTGTCAATTGTCTATGAGCCCAAGAACTTGAATGAACAGTACTTATAGAACGAACTGTGAAGTCAAGTCATAAGTGCATCTTTCCATCAAGAATTCAAGAAAGTAAGGTATTATTTCATGTATCTTTTCATGCATAAGGCATTATTTCTCAATAATAAGAGTCTGGAGGATATTCTATCTTGTGGAGTGCTTAGAACTCACTTTTTGTAACTATCGCAGAATGTTAAGTGGAGCGCACTTCATGAAATACATTTAATTTTATAGCCTTTGGACACTTCAACAACTAAAACGCCAACAAAGACTAGAGGAATCCTCAAAAATTGGTGTTGTCAGCTAACTTGGTACTTGTGTAAATTCTGTTTGCAAGGGACTGCGCTGCAATCATCCATTAGGGAATGAGGATTAACTAAGCTCACAATGGGGCCGTGGTCAATCGCTGTTGGGTGTTTGCATTGCAATCGCTTGTAAAGTGCCAACTTCGATGATGACACCTCTAGCCTTTGTCCGTCAATTTAGTCCAATTACAGCCAGCTAGTAATTCAAACAGGTTATCAATGACTTGGCATCATTGTGGAAAACTATGAAACCACTTAACTCGGTTTACTTCATTGTAAATTCTCCTGTCACATTTACTAGGTCTGAAGAATGTCCAATGATAGGATGTCTCTAAATTATTACTTTTTGTGAATCATCAGTGAAAGAGCAGTGGCGCGGCGTGCTTTGCGATGTATTGACTGTTATGCCATTTAAACCTGTGGGAAATGATAGATAATCAGGGTATTTGAAGCGAACACCTTTGTAATTGAATCTTTACCATAGGTTTAAATGGCAGAACAATCGATACATCGCAATTCACGCCACGCCACTGTGTAAGAGCTATAATATCCTCCAAGGCTTTAATCAGAGCCTAATGAAAAATTCTATTCTTTATATTGAATCCTTAGGGGTTGTGAATCAGGCACAATCACCTTAATCACAATCGCAGTAAGGATTTAATAGAAATTGTCTAATCCTGCACATTTTAGTCTGGCATGATTAAAGTTCTTTTGAAAATTCTCTCGAAAGGTATGTCCAATGTTCATACAGTAAGAACTCATATTATTTTTTGTGTATTCGTCTAGTTTCAATCGGGGAGGAATGATCATGTCAAATATGCTTTAAGCGTCTAGGAGTTTGAACAAACATCAAAGCTGCTTTCCAAGGCTGCATGGCTACAGTCAGGGAAAAGAGAAAAATCACCTTAAAGTCAGGAGATGAAGCCTGTTGTTCTTTAGGTATCCATACAGATTTCCACATCCCAATATTGAATATTCAAGTGTCTAACCGAAACTTGATTTTATTTCCATCCTGCAGGTGAGCTTTTTGTTTTTGTCAACAAATAGACTTAAAAATGCAGAGAGAAGAAAAACAAATAGACAATGCACTCGATGTCATGCTTTCGAGGGTCACAGAGCTCAAAAACTCGGTTATCCACCTCCTCTACAAAATGGATCATGAATCAGAAACACTAAGCTGGCCAACTGTTTTGGACAATTTTGCTCTCATCTCAAGTCAGGTAAGTTAGATCTCTTGATCACTGATTCAATATGGAGTATTTTTTCTCAGGTTAATACCAGGCTTTCAGTTGTTGATATTAAATCCAAGCGAACACGTTGTTTAAAACTCACCTTTCAAAAAAGAGGGCGTTTCTTGCCCACTGGCTCCTATTGGAAATAGAATCACAACAACTAGAGTTTTAGTTGGAATTTTCTGTCATAAACTTAGACCTTGTCTATAAGTGTATCCAAGATGGTCAAAATGATCGAATGTGCTTTCTTTTTGCCTGATGTGGATTCCTCAATTTTATGTTATTTTTTGTCTCCTGAACATCTCGTTTTTCCGAGTTTATTGTTTTTTTTCCCTCTCGCTGATTCAGTTTGCAGCTACGTCTCCTCAAAATTAGGCTTGCTTGACAAGATGGGATGAAGTCAGCCCAGTAAATGATAGGTCGTTTGTTCATTTTTTTAATCATCAACAAGTGTATGAATGATATTGCCATTCCCTTTACCATTCAGAATTTTCTTTTTGTGACATTTTCAGCTTACAGCTTTTAACAAATGCTTGGGACACGATAAAGTCCCACCGCTCCAGAATCTGGTGGTGTTACCGCTGCTTTTGAATCCAGACCGAGATGAGGATCTGCTTCGAATGACCGAAGGAAGAATCCCTGCATTCGCTCACGATGTTGTACCAGATTACCTGCGCACAAAACCAGAACCAGAAGTAGAGCAAAAGATGATGCAGCTTGAACACAAGGCTGCTGGTTTGTCAAATGAAACTACACAGGTATTTTTCATTCTCTCTCTTTATCAGAAATCACAGAATCTCAGATATTTTGATTTAATGCCCCAAACAGGAAATGTTCCATCTGTCAGCTTGATAACATCATGAAAAACTGCCAGCACTACTGGGCAGTCTTTGTTCATGTGTCGATCACTTTTTTCTGGAAACAACCAGTTCCCCAGTTCTTGAAGTAGAATATCATACCTATCTTTTGGTAGGATGATCAGTATGTTGACTGAATGGAGTGTTATTCTATTTGAGGAATCCTGCTTTCAATTGTCTGTCTTCATGAATCTTGTTTTGGTGAAAATGTTGTTGAAACTAATGAAGTTTTCCTTAGGTACAAAAATCTTGCAATTTTTTCGATCAATTTGTCATGATACACCAACAGCTAACCATCGTCAAATCCCCTCATTTACAGAAATCAGTATGTACGTATCTTTTAATATTATTTAAGCAATCAACAGTATAAAGAAATACTGTTATAGAGATACTTGACCTGACTTAAATTGGCAGTGTTGCACTATAATTAATTTTTTTCTACCCCCTTTTTTTTTTTTTTTTTTACTTTATAGCATGATTTATTCTTCTTACCCTATTTCTTGTTTCAGAAACAAATTGCAGCTTACACCAAAGCAATCAATCATATCCTGGACATTGTAGCCAAAGCCAGAGAGGACTGCGAATCAGAAAATGTTACGAGAGGTGGAGCATCACAGACATCATCTCTAGCCGATACACAAACACTTGCAGCTGCAATAGCCATTGGAAAGGGTTTGAAGGTACCTGCTGTCACTGTTATTATGTAATTTATCATCAGAAAATATACTAGCACAGAAAAATAAAATACAACTCTACCTTTGTAACCCATATGAGATCTCTTTAATTCCAAAAGAGTACATCAAGGTATGAGTAAAGTTTATCGACAAGACAAGCATCATATTTTATGATCAATAAAGGTAATGTCCTAAAAATTGTCTGTCTTTGAACTGATATGTTCAAAAGCAAAATTTCCAAAGTTTTGGTCATTATCATCATTTGGTAAAAAGTTATGCTTTCTGTCTCTCCTGTAAAATTCGCTTGCACATTTTTGTGCTACTTCAGAACTTAACAGTTGTCAAAATTGAAAAGCAATTACTTGTTATTAAGGGAAACTTGGAGATCTCTTGTTTGAATGGTTTTTCACTCGAGCATAAAGCTCCGAAAATTGTATGTCTGATTTGATATCCCCAAACCTGGCCATCTTTTGGCTTTTGTTTCTCATCTCATACATTTATTTCTGGGCTAGTAATCGTTGTTCTTGTACAAATATAAGGGTATATATTGTTTCTGTCTTTGCTGATCCTAATGTTTTCAATAACTGTGTTAGTTTTCTCTGTATAATTTATCTTAACTCTCTAATTTTCCATTTAATTGCTTCTTTTCAGCCAATGGTACCGCAAGGAGTTCAGTCTCCTGGTATGATGGTTCCTCCAGGAAATCGACCTCCAGGGCAAGGACCCCCCATGAATCCAAATCAACCTCCACAAAGTAAGTTCATTACCTTGACTTTTAATCCATCACCCTTTAAAATTTCAAACTTTCTCGTACCAAGACTACTTTGATAAATCTCTCCGCCAAAAACTGTATATCTCTGTGTATAAGATGCACTCTATTTCTCAAAATCTATTAATAAAATGATTTTTTTTTTTTAAAAAAAGGAAAAAAAAAAACAAAGATGAGGTAACTTTGACAGTGAATTAACAGGAATTCTGGAAGATTTTCCTGTGAATTTTGGAAGGATAACTTAAATCCAGCTCTGCATTCCATCTCCTATTTCCCCAAGTAAGAAGCATTTGGCCCCGGCCCCCTCCAGTTTCTGTCCTCTAGCCCATATTTCTGGGACTGTATTCTGAGGTGAATTTATGATTGCACTGATCTCTTATTGCTTTTGTTTTTCTCTTTTCAGTGGGCATGATGGGGAAAGCTCCTGGTACAATCAAGACAAACATCAAATCTGCTGGACAGATGCATTCGTACAATCGATAAAACAAATTGAAAAACGTTTTACAATTCTCTTCTTTGGTTCTTTTGAGGTCAATTTTGGAGTTTTCTTACACTAAAAAACATCGAGACCTACTGACCAATTCTAAGCCACCTCTGAGAAAAAGGTTTGTTTTGTATGAATAAGTTAGCACCAACACAGTTTCGTATTCTTTACTTTTGTGGGTTAAGATTGCAAAAATGACTGCCAGTTCCGCAGCCACACTACAAGTCATTTTTATAAGATAAAACCTGGGCAATGAGAGGATTTTAATTCCTCAGGATGTATCAAAAAACATTTAAGAACTGTTCTAAGTGATGAAACCACAAGCATCTTAGTGAGAGTTACTTTGTATCATTGTATCATATTCTTAAATGTGTGGTAGACCACAACTCAATTTATAATCTCGAAATGTTGGAATTTGTTCTTGCTGACAAATAGTGTTATCTCTTAACTTTTGGAAAAGTCTCTAGAACTTCCCGTTGAACTTAATAGTTATAGGGCAAAGATTTTGAGCTTTCCGTATTTTACATGATTTTGTATCTTTTAGAAAACTTTAATAAAAATGTATGTTGATTTTTTAGTCTTTTACCTATTTAATTTCTATTAACATAGACCATTTTTTTAAGTATGGAGTAAAGTATTGGTTTTATGCTCTGGAAACATCTGAAAAAATTTTGATCATTGAAATTCCAATATCTTATTAATCTCAACAATTAATTGCCTGTGAATTGTATGGGAAATTGGTGTTGTACCTTTCATTTCTGTCAAAAGGTAGAATCAAATAAAAATCCCTGTTAAGCATTATTTTCCTTTTGTTTTCGTAAAATTACTTTTTTGAGACATCCAAAGTTGTCGATAAATGTAATGTAATATTAAAGAAAAATTAAAATAAAAACAAATTGAGAAATTGATTGCAATATCCATATCATGTCTGAAATGACTGTATGGAGAGAAAACTCGATCAAACTATCGACATTGTCTGTCTTCAATTTCTTTGATCAAAGCATTTCTACATCTTTAAGGCTACCTCTGAATTAAAATTTGAGATTTTTTAAAAAGCTTCAAATTCCCCAAATCTTACAAGGTCTAGGCTTAGAAAGAACTCACCATCAAAACTGAACAGGTATAAATTTATTCACAATTTATGTTACAGTTCTTTTTTTCTCTGTAAAATAATACTTAGGCAAAACTTAACTTGATCAAAACTCAGCTAATAAATTATGAATAAGTTTCGACTGAAAAATGCTCAAAATACTGAAATATTGTAACAAGATGTATCCTCGGCTCATACATCTGCTGTGTTAATTTTCGTAGTGGTTAAACACTGACAACTAAGTTTGAGAGGAATAACCTCTGAGATGATTAGTAGGCAATAATGAAAGCTAGTATGTACATTTCATCTTCAAAGATTCAAAAAAACAAAAAGTAAAAACAAAAAACGAGAGGTGCTTTAGGAGGTATCTTAGAAAACTAAAAGATTTCTGAGTGCACATGTAAAGAAGTATCACTATTTTAGTTCTTTTCCAACTCGGAAACACGGGCTTTGTTCCTGGCAATAGCCTCTTGGTGACGCTTGATCTGTTCTTCGTGGAACGTGATTTCATCACTAAGGTCAGTTTTGAGTTTTTTCAATTGCTCTTTTTGCTGAAAGAAGAGAAGAACCAAAAATTTAGGAAATTTCAAACATACATTGCACCAGGAAAAAAATTGAGGAGCTGGAACCACAATTCGAAAGATACAAAGGGTTGATTTTGGAAAAATAGATTCAAACTGCTCCCTTTTAGATACACTTATTTCATAGTTTGATGCTTTAATTATTGATGTGTACTCCTTAATTCAATCACTGAAAACAAGATGACATGATTGGCAAAATAGACCGACTTTGAAAGAGATGCACCGAGTTGCATTTTGATGGGAGTACTTTCTAGTTCAATTTGCCAAAAATTGCAAGCATTTAGCTAGCACTAACCAGTATTGATGCATTGGGTTTAATGTAATTCCTTTGAGCATAAATACATCCAATTATTTTTGGACAAAAACTCCAAGTCAAGAAAAAATTTTTTGATTATGAAAATAGTTGCTAAAAGTTGTCCCTACCATTGAGTCTTACGGTGGAATAAAACTTCACACCTATCTTTTAGTTCAAACTGGATGCAGTTCAAACTGAATATTCTTTGGTCAAAGACTCAAAGTCGAGAAAAAATATAGTGAACGTGAGAATAGTCGCTAAAATTTGTCCCCAACATAGAGTCTTACGGAGGAATAAAACTTCAAACCTATTTCTTGGTCCAAACTCGATGAAACTGACGCAACTTTGTAGTGCAGTCATAATATAATCACCCATGCTCTGCCTGACCAGCCGAGACCTAGATTGTACTCAATTTATTTTCCTGGACAATTTTCTCAGACACAATTTGTCGTTTCCCTCACGAAAAAACATACATACATTTCAATGTTGCGAAATTTACCATAAAAACCCCATTTTCACCGGAAGAATCTTGGGAATTCTGACTAAAAATTTCACTGATTTATCTACTGATCTTGAATAAGAATCGAGAACAATTTTGAACAGAAATTGCTAGGGTACATTCCTGCAAAAAATTGAACTGTCTGAGTCAATTTTGCAACCTTGGTAAGGAGTTACATTCGTTCGTCTAGAAAACGACAAATTTCAGTGAAGTAAGGAGGACTTTATACCTGTTTGTAGAAGAATTCCTCCTCTTGAGCTGCTTGCATTTTGCCAAGGGAACCACCAGCTTCTCTAATTGATCCACCAGCACCGCCACCTTTGCCAGCACCACTTCCTATGTCACCAAGAGGAGTGTCAGACATAGCTCGGATTGCGCTGAAAATGCAGAAACTTCGTAAGAATGGGATCATAGGAGGTCTTCCTACTTTTACAATTCTAAATAACGATGATTGAAATCTCAGAGCTCTGATCTTAAATGAGGGTGATGCAAAATCAATTTTTAATCCCCCTCTATATTTTTTTTTACTTTTTTTAAGACATTAAAAGAGTTCAAAGAGAGGCATCTCTCCTCCAAATTTCAACCCCCCTGGAAAAATCTGGTAGAGGGGTTCAAAGCTGAAACACCTTGTGAAATTCTTTGCCTCATAAGTTTGAGAAAAATGAAGATATCAACACGCTGCTTCGACAGGCAACTTCTGTGTTAAACGAGTGTACATGTTGCAAAATTATCTTGACTCAAAGTTAGGATAATTTGATCCAGTTAGATTTGAGACTACATTTTTTCCCTTCTTCATGGAAATACTGAAAAACACAAAAATTTTAATTTTCGCCAAAATCAGATACGTTGATATCATACTATGTATGCTAATCATAAAAATCTAGCCTGCATCCTGGAGAAATTCTTTTCCTGCTAGTAAAGACCACAACACCAGCAAAAAACACCGCTTTCATGCAGGGCTATTTCAAACCGCGCACCACTGCTTCTCTCTCAGGCGACATTGAGTTAAGAGCTCATCAGTTGCTATCTTGCACTGTCCCACAGCGCTTAAGAAAATTACAAGAGAAGAGACTTCGCTTCAAAAGTAAGAGGAGGATAAAATCTAACCCTTCAAAATAATGCCACTGACAGTGTACAAGCACAACCTATGCTTTAATTAGGACAGATAAAAGGTTGTGAAGTCTCAAGGTCGAAGACTCTAACACATATTGCATCACTGTGAATGACAGCTTATACCCTCAAAATAATAAATCCAATCTGCCTCTTCATCTGTTTGTTTTTCATCTTTTATCATCAACAAATCTTAATTACTTACTGTTTTGATATTTTTTGAACAACTACTGAACAAATCAATGATTAATGTCGTGGTGAAAATTTCCTTCTTGTCAGTGTGTTTACATGGTTATACTTGTTCTCTCCGAAAACTTCTACCTATGTGTTTTATAGAACATGTTTCATCCAACTTTTAAATTACACCACCTTGTGAAGCCTATATTTTTCGCTAAGGTTGCACTGTTCTTCCTATTGGGTTCCTTGGTTTTCTCACATTTGCTCATCGACTAGAAATAATCAGTTATAATGGAAGATTAGGGACCTACAGTGTTGTAATCCTATGTTTTTCTTCAAACAGTTGAGTAGAATTATTGATAAAGTTTCAGCAACTTCGGAATAGAGTTAGAATAGAGTGTATTACTTCACTAGCTGCATGCTTATACATCTCAATGTATCATCATATTATGACACCTTAACACACATTCCTGCTGATAAATTTTACATTGGTCATCCTTCAACTTTGCCGCATTAGACTAATTTACTTCCGAAGAATTGAGCCTTAGCATTTACGCAGGACTGATAAGTGGAGCAAAGAATTCCAAAACAGCAAAAACTTAGAGTTGTTATTATGGGTAAAGAAAGTGACCACAGTATTGGGAGTTGGCAGCAAGTAGATACAAAGAAAATTGCCCTGATTTAATTAAAATGTACGGAAAATGAACAGTTTAACAATAAGGAAGACCGCACAAAAGAAGAGATAAAAATATAATTACCTAAGGCGTAAGTTGCACGGCACACTGCGTTTGAGCAATGAAAGAAACATTTTACTAGCTGGTATGAGAAAATAGAAAATTTGAATCAATTAAACGATTATCACTTTAAAAATCTCAAAGATACGTAATTCTCTGTGTCCTTTACAACACACTTACTTGCACTAAAAATAGTTTACCTGTGCAACGAAATTCAGCACTTATCTGTCAAATTGTTTACGAGAATCCACCAAAATATGATAAGAACAATGATAAGACGCGTAAACGTCAATGGTAATACGTCAGACGGAGGCAGCTTTTTACCCCTTTTATTTCATGACGTCATCCATGCTTTTTTCAGCTTTGTTATTGTTTACGTGCGGTGTCTTCTAACCTAAATTTAAGTTGTTACCTGGTTGTTACAAAGACATTATAGGTTGTTACCGTGTGTGCAGTAGTGCGGAATGTGCGGAATGGACTCAACAGACTTATTCTTTCATCACCTAAATTTATGATTTCAGAATCTAGTCACTAGTTCATGCTTCAAGTCCTGGGATACATTGTTTTTCTTCGTCGCCGGTCTGAATATCCTACCCCTTCCGACCCCTTTACTTGTTTGTCTCGAGTCTTGGCAGCATCATTTCAAAAAAATTCGTAATTTCTGACACATTGTGGTAAGGCTGGATATTTTCTACATTATGCTAAGAGTAGAGCCTCTCAAATCATCCCTAGTCTTATTTTTATAAACTCGTGACAACTGACTGTCTGAGCGTTTAAAAATGCACATCCAATGAAGGTTTTACCGTTACCTACGAGAATGTAGAGGCTGTAACCAGTCAGTTTTCTGATGTCAAACTTGTAGATATTCACCTAAAACAATAACCATCTCGGGGCCATCACAGTATCAATGAGTGAGGCATTCGCAGTGTGGACCAATTTGAGTGGCCCTTGATTGGCCGAAGTTGCATGAGCGATGCGTTTAAATTTGAGTGAAATAATGATTATCAGTATTTTGAGCTTGCTCATCATATCTTAAGACACATTTCATACTCTGATTAGCTCTGAACTAGCACCACTCAACAGGTCAATACATATAGTTAGATGGCACCTATGATGAGTGGTGACATAAACAATCCATTGACGCTTGTCTTGAAGTATGATGCGCGAGCTCTAGCTTTCATTTCCTCAATCATCAGGCAATGTCATTTATGAGCTAGTCAGTTTTTTAAAGCAAAATTTCATCCTCCTTCAACACGATTCTTATGAATTTTTGCACTAGATCAACCTCTGTGAAGATATCGGCACAAAAGGAACACGTTATGCGTTCTCTCTTTAGACCAAATGTCTAACCGCGGCGGAGTTTCATCTACTAGTGTCTCACGGAAACTTAGTGGCGGCTTCTATATTTTTATAGGTAACGCTTGCACGTACGTAAACGATTCAATCAAAGCAAGCCTGCTGTCCATCCCTAAATTGGATATGTGGTCCAGAACCACCAGCAAACTTAAGCAACGATGCAGCATCTGAGCATCTCAAAATATGTTGATGGTCGTAAGTCCCATATTGATTACCAAAAACTTTGATCAGTTCTTTCGAAAGCAGGTACTTACCTGGCTCTTTTAGCAGCCTGGAAACTAAGTGAAGTGCTGTAACATATGGCTGTTCTCTGATGAAACGTCTATTATTTGCCTAAAAATTGATAGCAGCCATGTAAGTGAAGTTTGCATCTGTGTAGCTGTATTCTAATAAGTTGCCTTGGTTCTTAGATATCAGGAAACTGAAGTGTGAGCTATTTTTGCTGAAGCGTCCTCTCTGAAATATTTATTTTTCTCGTTTTTGAGAAGCTTTTTTTTTTCTACTTACGAAATCTTGTGAGGGATGAAGTCCCACAACAAATGGTGCATTGAGGATTGAGGTGAAGGCCTGATTCGCAGCTTCACTCTCCATTTCTATTCTTCCCTTATCCACTCTAATGTCTGCTTTTCTCCTCTTATTGCCTGTGAGCCATTGTGTTGTGTTGCATCAAATGTTTTTAATTCCTCTGCTTTTTTCTTGCAGCTAGTTCAAAATGACTTTTGACACCAGTTGGGACACTGATAAATACAAGGTGCCGTATGAGTCCGAGGAGCATTGGCTTCTAAAGAAAGAATTCATGGACACTCACAAAGAAAAGTATCCTGAACAGAAGCTCATATGTTTGGCGCAATGTTTTTTCAACATAGAATTTTTGGGGGCTCGGTAAGTTTCCTTAAATTGAAGCAGAACTTTAGAGTCCCAACTTCTCAGAGTTTAACTGTGAAGCTTGGAGGACATGGTGCATAAAAAAAAAGCAGTTTAAGAAAAGGCAGTTTTTGAAAAAATTGAAGTATTCATCAACTCAATGAAAACTACTATGAAAATATTTTCTTGATAATATTTTTCGCCATTTGTGAACGACCGATCGGTCGTTGGTTCGCAATGATTCTGCATCACTGAACTATGATCATAGGGATACGGACGGTCTGGAAGACTGGGAAAATCAGGGAGAGTCAGAAAATTTGCAGCAACCGGGAAAAGTAAGGGAAAGACAGAGAATCTGTTGAAAAATCAGCCAGCTACTGAATGCCTTTTTCTGTAATTTGAAATTTAAACATGGAAATTTTGTTTAAAGTTTAGCGAAAGCCAGCGTTAAAAAAAAGAAGAAAAAAAAGAAAGGTGCCCACCATTCAGGACTTCAAACTTTTGATTTCTCCTTTTAGCCAATGATGGCGCTCTGTGGTTACTTTTGGAAATTTGGAGGGAGAATTTTAAATGAAAAACTAATTGAATTTAGTGTTAGGTACTGAAGTCTCTTTGCGTTTGATAATTTTAAAAGTTATCTGTAACCTGTAAATCTTGTTTTTATTGAAATGAACAGACTTTATTTTACACTTCATAGCCAAAAATTATTTTTTAAGTTTGCCTCCCGAGGTATTTATTTTTCTATGCACCATGTTCCAGTTATCCCGACAAAGTCATGAAACTAATCGAAAAATTATCGGAAGATGTAGCAGCAGATCACCGCGAAAAGAAGAAAAGTAAACTTCAAAGAACATTTGTCGGAGCTAAGGATGCTGCTGAAGCAAAAGTTAAACGTAAGAACTTTCCATTCCAAAAAACTAGCCTTTGTGATGAGCTTCAAATATACCAGTAGTACTTTTTGGCTTAGCTGTGACCCTCATTACCATTGTCTCAGCTTATTAGTGCGTAAAAATGGTATGGTTGCCAAGTTAGACCGATTCTGCTTATTTTTTGGGGGAGAGGGGTATGAATTAAGTAGTTGTAGAAGTAAGGGGTTTTTTTTATTCGTGGAACGCATGAAACGCGATGATAGCGGTTCGGGCTGGTTCAGCCAGCCTGAATCAACCTCAACATACCTCGGAAGAGTGGTCCAAGCGTTCCACTGGAACACATGGAACGCACTGGATCGCGCCAGTGAAACGCGATAAAAAAGTGATGCGTTCCGTTGTGGTCCACTGTGGTTCGGATAAAAAAAAAGCCCTGTAGTAAGCTGGGCTGACAGTCAGAGGCGTTTGAAGCATAGACACTGGCACTGCTGTTATGCACCTTGACGCACGTTGCTTCAGTACATATTAAATTTTTCCGCAAGGCTCTGCGGTTGTGAATCAAGGTAACGGTAGGACGCATCAATTGCTTTGCTGTACGCAACCGAACGTAGAATTGTGAAGCACAGCCATGTCTTCACAAAATTGTTTCAATCTCCTGCAAACAGTTGATGCTGGCAGTCGCGCACAAGAAAAATGATCCACAGTTTTAATAACTACACAATTGAACAGTGTTAACTTTCTGCTTACCAAGGGATGTCCATATTTCTCCTCCATCCTCTATTTTCAGAGAGAATAACAGGGTGATTAATTCTTCAGAATGGAGGGATGAGTGGCATGGTCATTCATGGCAACAATGATAGATAACAAGTCCTTGAAATCTGTCACCACCATGAATCGAACTCAAGAACTCAGTGCTGGCAGCAAACTGCCTTGACCACTACACTGCCAAGGCTAGCCGAATATTTATTCAATTGTTAAGGTAGAAGAGAAAAACTAATACCTGTAAGCTTAATTCATGGCAAGTTGATAACAGCTTGGAATTGTTCTGACTCAGAATTACATTTTTTGCTCCCTTTGATCTGGTTTGACATTTTAGGACATTTTTTGTGCCTCATTTCTAATACTTCTCCATGCATAATTGCATTAATTCAATTTTAAGTAATTTGGCCTTAAATTCCCTATTTTTTTGGATGTTTACATACTATGAGTATTTATGTAACACTCTTTGCCAGAGACACATTTGCTATGATTTCTCTAATCCTCAAGTTTTCTGGGTTGTTTTCTCAGGATTGAAACGACCAAACGATTCCAATGAAGCGGAAGCAAAGAAAAAGAAAATGAATGGTAAGTGCTCTTTTAGGTAGTAGTTAAATTATTTATGATCAATCAACAACATCAATTTTTACTACTAAAAATCCGAGGATCTCTATAAAAGTGGTCATGGCTATACTCAGTCACATCTAATGAACAAGCTTGACTGCCTTCCTTTAAGAGAGGACATTATCTGGAAATAGTTCCCCCTCTTTTTTTTCTTTAGTTTAAATGAGTATGATACAGCATGATCAGCATATCCATGGCTGAGTGTAAAAATTGCGTATCTCAATAATTGCAGTATTTAAAAATTTCGGACCTTGTTTGTTTCCTGAAGGAAAACTGACAAAATATTGCCCTGCTATCTTGTGTACTTCTTTTAGTTTGAGCAAAAGAACTTCCTAGAAAATATAAGTATTAACTGTTGGTTGGTTTTCCTTTAAAAAAATAAAACATGAGCAGAGACTCACAACGTCTCAATCTTAGGTTTGTATTTTTCAACTTTAACTATCAATATTGTAATAGACCAGGGGATAAAAAGGGTGAATGGTCCCCTAATCTTCCGAACTGCCTTGCTTGGGGGGCGCAGCATAGCTCAATGGTAAAAAGGGATGAAAAGGAGCGCCACGAAACGTATGTATCCAAAACTCTTTACTACTCTACAGCAACTCTACCTCAAACTTTACACTGGCGGCCCAGACTCCTTACCACTATAAAACGCACAAAACACAACTTAGTGGGACCTCCTGACATTAAGGGCACTGGACCTCGGTGATGCTCACTTGCCAAACACTTAGCCAACTGCCCAGAACTAGAGCTTCAGCCTGCCAAGCTTAACTTCGGCCCTGAAAAGCTGGCCCAAAGACGGCACGCTCGCCTAAAGCTCAGTCAGGAAACTTGCGGCCGCTGACGCATGAATGATGCCGGGACGACATCGAACGCTCGCTCCAAAGGACACACGATTTCCCAGAAATTGTGCCGTCCTATTACAGTATATTCTGTGGGAAAATCGTTCCACAAGTTTCAATCTATAAGGCTTCCTCTTACCTATTGAGTGTATACTAAATGTCCAAAGTGGCTGTCTATTATCTATTCAGTACTAAATTTACAATCATGTAATAGTCCATTACAATTTTCAGGACACCCAGCGAAAATAACATAATACCAATCATAACCCCACCCCTTCCATTCTCTTCCCTATAAGTGTCACAAGAATCATGAAGTCAAGTTCATGGAGTACACTTTACCGAATGCAAAAAAAAAGTGTCATAGTTGAGAAACCAAAGATCGAGCAAGAGAACTCGTAATGATTTGAGGTTTTTTTATCAAAACATTCATGAAATTTATGGACATTACAGTAAAAAACATTTATGAAAATTACAGTATCAATACCCATGGGGCTCATGGGTATTGATACTGTAATTTTCAAAGTCGCTATCAGACACTGGAAAATCTAGGGCACACAAGTGTATAATTTATGGATTGAAATGCAAAAGAAATTTTTCTAATTTCCCATCCATTACTCTATGCGATATCTCCAAAATGTCTCCATGGAGAGAGTAAATTCTCAACCTATTTTGAAAACACTAAACATTTTCACTGTAATAAGGTACTGCAATTGAGTAGTTCATCCTATAAACTTTAAATTATAGCCTGTAGACTAATTTTTAAAATTTTATTTTGTTTATAAGGCAAGATGAGAATGGAAGCTGAAAGTTATTCAGAAATGGAGTCATGTTATTTATGATTCAGTTATAGTCACATCACTTGAAATGTTCTTACCTGATTGAATAATCATTGGTTGTTGATTACTCAGAGAAGCACTGACAGCCTCTCAATAATCCAGTCCCATGAGGACTCTACAACAGAGTCAAATGATTTATCTGATGGTTCACAATAAATTCATTTCAACTTATCTTGTCCCATTCCATGGACAAAGACTGAATTTCAACGATCTCCCTGCTTTAAAACGATGCCAATTGACTTTCATGCACTAAGAATGTGGAATAGACAACTGAAAAGACTAGTTGACAAGGCTATACCGCTTCTCTCTTGAATCTCGGGTTCAAAACGATGAGCGGAACTGCATGTTTGGAAATTAATTCTTGACAACCTGAGAATTACTTTCAACTGTAAGAATCAACTATAGTGATACTGTTTCTTAAGAAATGAAGACCAGTAGTTTCAGTGATGGCTCTGATGTTCTTGATTTTTCAATGGAGATCTCTGTTGACCTCATTGTAGGAGACTTTCATGTCCCCGCCATTCATCATTCTTTTCCTACATTTTTAGATGATGTTGTCGAGATACTATAAGAACAAGACGGGCAATTTTGGAACTAAGCATCTCGAACGGGAACCAGCTAAAACCAGCCACAGTTTCCATGCAAAGGCGATGCTTCCTCATTTAAGTGCACTCCTATCAAGATATCTGGTAAAGTTTTTCTCTAATTCAAATTTGTGTAAGGCACAATGGACTCTAGACTTTGGTGTGTGACACTGCGGATGTTCTTTTAGTGGATTAAGCCATCAAAAACGCAAACTTACCGTTTTATTCATTTCAATGCAAATTAAAGTTCATGTGATATTGTAAATAGATATATTTTAGAATTAAATCTGAAAAATAAATGACCATGCATTTTTGAAAAGCAGTCTTCATTTGTGCATGAAATGCATATCTTTTGATGGTTCATTTCCACACATTTTTTTTTGGACAAAATCGTTTTCGTGTTTGGAGCATTTCTTTTCTTAAATTATGAAAACGTGCTGCAGAAGTCTATCAAATTTTTTCAAAAAACCAGCTCTCCTTTCTCAGGTGTGCAGAAAGTTCTTAGCCTTCACATTTTTGGAGACAGCCTTCACATTTTTCGAGGTTGCCTTCACATTGCTGTCCTCCTTAGTCTTGTGCACTTCTTTATTTCCTTCGCATAAGAAAGCGCCCTTAATTATTTTCTTTGCACAAGAGAGCGGGTTACACAGTCTTTGCAAAAAGCTATGAGCTCAGCAGGTTTCTAATTTACCCCTTTTCAGGTACCTTCACATTTGCTCTGCGATCAGTCTGCGATCAGCCAATGGAGCACTTTCTGCACTCCTGTCCTTCCTTTTAATGACAGTCGAACCTGTCTCAGTATAATAATTACATCAAAGTTTGACCAAGAAATAATCTGAAATAGCTTTAAAAGTACATATGTCTCAAGTGAAAATCCAAAACCGAAAGGAAAATTGATTCATGATATTCGCCTGAGATGTACTATTGGAGTGATTTAAAAGTGTTTATTGGTCAAACTTTGTGCGCCAATACTTGACATAGTACAGCAGGATGTGATGCTTGAAAATTCTCAAGAAAGGTCCTAAAATCTAGAAACTATAAATTGATCAATCGACTAATGATTCTCTAAAGTTCGTGAGAACCACCTTAAGATTCAAAGAATACAACAACAAAAATTTTACAAATAAAAATAAATATATTTTCAGCATTTGCAGTTTTGGTAAAAATCATAGCTTTAAATGTCATATGCACAATTACATCGGCATGTTCTGAATTTCTTGGTCAAAATTAAATAAACATGCAATGGTTTTGAAGTATTCCGAACGAAACAATTTCATACTGTGCAATCTTGGCACTGTGTATGTACACTTCGTTTTAATAATAATGTAGAAAAATACAACTGAAACACTTAAAGCTAAATGCAATCAACAATATTAAAGTTATATAAACAGAATCGAATAACCTAACAAGTAGCAGTAAAACAAAAAAGCTCTCAAAGTTTAGATAAGTAACAAGTGTATTGAATCACTGGGAAGGTAAGGATTTCAACAGAGCTCTAAAGGGAGCTGAGACCTGCAATTCTAGCTTCTTGTCTGGTCTGATATATTATTTGGAAAAAACTCAGTTATCATTTATTTAATTTATTTTATTTCAAAATTCTCCGAAGAACACACTTGACTGGTACAGAGGAATAAATGTCGGAACATGTTGTGGCTGAATATTTGATCAAGCTATCACACCCTTATGATAAAAAAATTCTGTGAGTATTTTGGGAGGAAGAATAAATCAGCCCTCATCATGAGTGTTTTCATAACAAATTTAGAAAAAAAACAAAATAAAAAAAAATTTTTTTTGGTTACATTTGACCACCCGCAAGGATATTAATACGCCAACTAAGTGCTGAAAGCCCCGACGTCAAATTTTTGGAGCTCATAATAAGCTGAGTCATTCCATTTAATAGATTTTGTTCATTTAATAAAGTATTTTAGTTAATGTCTCAATCTGCCTAATTGCATGTCACAGATAAAGAAACAAATATTTTAGTCAATAGAAAAAGTCGCTGTAATTTTCTAAGTTTTCCTCTCAAGAAAGAGAAACGATAAAAACCGTACCAAATGAGACACTGCTTAAGGACAGTCACTGTGAAGGGAGCGCTTTAACTGCAAGCCCCAGTTCCAATCTAAAGCCCAGTTCAGAATAACCATGAAGCATGTTTTACAAAAACTTTACAATGTCAGTCTGATGAAGACCAACTACATGATTAATTAGGCACAAATTCAGAAATAAATCAAGTCCTTAAGCTACGTTTTGCTTTTTTTTATAAAAAAGCACCTGTGTCAGTGTTTTTTCACGGTTTGAGAATGCAACATTTGACAATTTATAAAAAAGCCTACGTGTGAATATAGACTGTTTGCATAGGGTCAAAACTGATAGACAAAAGCCAATTGAGTAAATCAACTTATGTGAATGTCTGCAGGAAGAGGAACCCAAGTCCACAGAGAAAACATTTTGAGCGATTTTGGTAGAGTTGGATCAAGAGTATCGGATTTTAAGATTGGGGTAGATTAGGGAAGGAGTCTTGCTTCAGTGTCTTGGAGAAAAAGTTGCAAGCTGTTTATTTCATTTTTGCGCCAACAAAGATTGAGAAGTTGCTTTGTAATACCCTTATTCCTCAAAAATTTTAAAGCAGTTTTTTCCAAAATTATGCCTCTTCAGACTTTAAACTTCAAGTTGCATTAATTTTGATTCGATCTGACATTTTCGGGTGCTTCTTGTTTCAAAGCGGTCTCAGAAAACTTCTCTGTAATTGAATTTCAATACCTGAATTTGAGTTTTTGTAGACCAAGGTCTTTCCTGTGGACAGTTCTATACAGAAAAAGCACAAAAATAAATGCGGCTTATTTTGCCTGTAGTTCAGAACCAAAAGACTAATTAAAATGTCACCATTCGAGATTTTAAAGAAAACATCCTCTGTTCGTGGAAGTAAATAGTAACTTCAGAAGCCATGGATTGCTCACTGGTGTGAGGAAGGGTCATATGGACTGCATTAAACAGAGAGGAACCAAGTCACATCAGCTATTGCCGAATTGAATTGGGCAGCCTAATTTTTTACATGAAAACGGCTGCGCGGATTTTCATGCAAATATTAGTGGATTTTCTCCACAGTACGAAGCAAATTCCTTAAAATTTTCAAAGGAATCGCTACAAACGTTCTCTCGTAAAAAATTAAATTGCCCACTTAAATTTGGCAATAGCTGATGTGACTTGGCTCCTTTCTGTTAAACGCGGTCCATATAATGTTGAATGCATATGGAATCGGTAAGAGGGCTGCCGAAGTGCTAATTACTTACTATTTTTGAAAAAATCTTTTTAATCTTGTGAAAATTTTTACAAGCTGATTAACAACAGTTCACAGTCTTTTTGTAGTAGGTGCCTCACAAATAAATGATAACACCGAAACATTTTTTGAGGCAGATTAATGGACCTTCAGACAGATTGAGATGTTAGGAATACATGTTTTCTAGTTAAAATTTCTTGAAGAATACAGTGTCCACAATGTAATTTACAAACAGCCCCAAGTATGTTTGTTTTCAAAGCCACTACAACTTCTGTTAATTTTTGTTTTTTTTTGTTTTTTTTTAAAAATTTTTAGTAAAACATTTTTAGTACTTTTAATCTGTTATGTATTAAATTTTAATGAGGAAACATGTCTTCTGGTGCTTCAATTTTGACCATCTCTAGTGGACCATGTCCTACTAAAAGGAAAAATGTTCTTCCAGACAACCTGTCCTCGGTTTCATTCCATGGGCAAAAATGGTGGCATCATAGTAAAATTAAATCAACCAGTGGGAAGTTTGTTGCCATCGATTACAGTCATTTTTTCCATCAATTTGTTTCTCCGTCTGCGTACTTCTTTCAAGATTAAAGTCTCATACTCTATGTTCAACAGATCACATTTTAAAAGCATTCAACGAGCAAACAAGTAAAAAAACAACAGCTCATTAAAATGTCGACAATCAATAAAAAATGAAACAAAATAAAATTATACAAAAAAAAGATGTAACTAGCTATTTTAATCAGCAATTTTTAAACTTAACTAAAGCTGTAATTATTTCCTTGAGGAAATAATGCAAATATTCCACATTCAAATCACAGTTGGTACAAATTATACAATAACAAAAAACCACCAGACTAGGTGTGAACAAAATTTTGAGACTTCTTTGGAATTGTTCCTAGGATATTAGGCCACCTTTCATACTTCGTCACCTTCCAGGCAAAGTATCACAAGCGCCATGCGACGTTTAAAAATTTCCGCCGCCATTTTATTTCTTTACTGAGAAATTGTTGGTTGAATCTGTTTGGATATTTCACTAAATTTTATCGGCAGCACAAAGAACATTCAGTGAAATTTTCGGACAGCTTCGTTGAACAATTTCTCTGTAAAAAAATATAATGGCGGCGGAAATTTTTAAACGTCGCATGGCGCTTGTGATACTTTGCCTGGAAGGTGACGACTTCTTAGCCCTCAGGGATTATTATCTACATTTGACAGTCATACTGAAAATATGTAAATTTAAAAAATCAGGGGTATAAGTCTACCTACAAATAATCCTAATAATTCAAGTTCGCTGATATATTTACATCATTCTTTAATGTACACTGTTAGATTTACATCAGCGGGGAAAAAACGCAATTTTTATTTTATATACATAGGTTTCTTTAATATTGAAGAACTCAAATGTAGTCACAAACGATATAATGGTTTTTCTTTCATTCTTGCTTTTTCAGATAACTCAATGTGTAACAGATTTTAATGAAATGTTTTGATGATCGTTGAAATTGCCACTTTCGGAACAACTTAGGAAAGAATGTACTTCTGAGTACAGTTCGCAAAGTTACTTAAGAGTTACTTAAGAGTACTTACTTTCGCAAGTTACTTAAGAGGTTGACTTGAGTTGAGTATTTCCGTCTTATCACAAGAAGAATCCGTCCGGTTGTGTTTAGCTAAAATTATGGAAATGTCCAATGCAATTTATCCCTGGATAATTTGTGGAAAGATACTTCTTCAATGTTCTGAGGGTGGCAGTTCCTACATTCACTTAAACTTTAGTGTATATTTCGTAATATGTTGTGTTGTCCGTGTTGGAGGGAACCAATTCGAAGAGTTAAGTTTATTATTCTCAAAGTGCTCACAAAAATTTATGTCCCAGAACAAGATAGGAGGTTCGACTTTCTCTCAAGCAATTAATTTCACTTCTTTCCACATTTACTTGAATCTACATTCTGAAGATAATTTGTATCCTCAATAAATTAAAAAGTAGCAAATATAAAATCATAAAATTAAATGCTCAATTTATCACTTGCTAACATGTTTTCACTGCTCGACACTTACATCAATAGTTTGCGATGGAGTGTTACCTCGTGGCACCATGTTGACTTGCTCAGGCTCAGAGTCTAGCATTATGACGCACATAAATGTTTTCCCTGAATGACTATCTTTTGGGTAGATTGTAACAGGAGTAAATCTCTCACTAGTGCCCTCAACGTAGGCGCAAAGGTTTTTGTATACATCAGGAAAATGTTTTTGCAAGCTTACTCCACGGTGCCGTAGATGTCGTTGTATGTTGGTGAAGCTTATCTGCCTGGCTCTCTGTGATCCGTCATTTCCTGGCAAGGATGTTAGAATTAATGTACTGTTGGTATCTGTTTTTGATCCGTCTATAGGATGACGGCTCATTAGAGATTGGCACAGTCGAATTTTCGCACACCGGGAGACAACTTGTCTCTCCCACTTGACAGCTCCTCTAGTTGGTACTTCACTTACAACGCAAACTGCCACATATAGTACGAAACGAGTGTCAGGATTGTAATTCTTGCACAGACGAATGAGCTCAGTGTATAAGTCAGAATTCATTTCGCTTGGCAGTATATCTGACCACGCGATGAAAGTGGGCTCACCTAAAAATGAGAAACCATTTTTGACGAATTTCTCAGCCATTTCAGGACTGGAAAAGAAACTTTTGACAGCTCCTCTGCCTTGAGACAAATATCCTCTTCGTGCAATGAGTGATAAGTGATTCAGACTATCAGGATCCTCTTTGCTTGCATTTAAAACCTGGCGACACAAGGACCCTACTCTTGAATGCAGGCATGTTTTTCTATGCTTCTCCCAATGAGCCCTGCGGCACTCGCGGGAGCAATATACATGAGCGCAGTTGTGGCAAGTTTTAAACGTTCTCCGAGCTTCTGATACATCTGCTACCTTGTTACACTTGTTATACCTACAGCGCACCAGTGTGTCCGGAATGCCAGAATTTTGAGAATTGCTGACTGCAGCGTCAAAGGAAACTCTACGTAGATTCATTGCAGGAGCAGCTTCAGTTACAGAGTTGGCTGGCTTCTCATTATTTCCTGTCTTGCTAGCTGACCCTGTGAACAAAAGTTCAATTTTATCAAAACTTTTCCGGGCAGCTGTTTGTTAGCCACTCTGTACCTAGAAAAAGAATCTCAAATTTTCTCCTTCTGGATATTTATCTCAGTAAATTCTTTCCCTATTTTCAGGAATGATTGGGTAATGTTAGGTTACTTTAAGGTACATACGTTAGAACCGCCTTCAACGGTCGATCAACTTAATCATCAAAAAATGATTCTGTGATTCTACAAGTGCCGCACTCGATAAAAATGTTTTTGAGCCCTCTGTAATCCATTTCACACTAATATGATTCAGCTCAACTTTTTATTTTTCCAAAGGAAAATTTCGTGCTTTGACCACAGACTAATTTATTAGGGGGGCTTTTAGGAAATACTTTTTCTAGAATTCGCTCAAAGATTTTACGGGAAATCTTCAATGAGGCACAACAGGCTTTGAGTATCCAGTATTAATAATTCTTTTAACAAAACAAAACTGAAACGATTCTCAACAAGAGAAGGAATTCGTCGATTTTGAACTAATTGAATAAAGTTTTGCATAAAAGAGAGATTTCCCATGAAATTATCAATTCACACGGTAAATTTTGCAAAGAAACACTAAAGCGCTTTGGATTTTTGTAAAATTAACTCTTGGACTCAAAAATAGCTCTTGATAAGACGGAGAAATCTTCCTCTGTAATAGAGTAAACTTAAAATTGTACTATTGGCCTAAGTATTTAAGCGCTTCTTCCAGTTATGATTCTAGTTTTGTTTAACACCCTTTTTTTCTTTTAAAAATTCCTTTTTCTTAAATTAAACTGTGAAATTAGTTGCTGAACTTTGTCCTACATATAGATTGGTGAAGTGAAATGCAAAACTTCCATGCGACCTTCGTCAATGTTTTTTAAGGAATTTTTTAAAAGTGTAACAATACGAAAAAATTAGCTGGTATATTCATTTGATCAAAGTTACACTTCGTTTTATTTCATGCTTTAAGATCCTTTTTTTGAGATTTTTAAGATCCTTGCCAACTGTAAGTATGATATGTCTTCGCCAAATTTTAAATTTTTTGGGATGCAAGACTAAGAGAGAGAGAGAGAGAGGTAACTTGAGGTTGTGGAAACTGCATCTGTCCATAACAGTCAGAAGGGTTACTGTTTTGCTTACCAAGCCCCTCTTATCTCTGACAGTTTTTCTTGTCTATTTCGTTCTCGAACACAACTTGATTTTTTGTTTAATTTTATTATGAACACAGTTTATAGCTGCCTGCATATTATATCTAGTTTTGGATGTTGGAAATTTTGAGATTAGAAAATTTTCTAGCACACGAAGTCTAAATATCAAGTGCCATAATCGTGGTGCATGAGTATTTTGGCTGAAGTTTTTTCTACCCCTAAGGTTTGAAGGACTTAAGTGAATTTTATGGCCATTCCTAGATTGCATTATCTTACATGTGCTGATATCAGTTCTTGAGGTTCTTCTAGACCAGAGAGGAAAAAACCTGGATCCTGAAATATTTGAAAAGTTGTTGACTAAGTAAATGATGAGGGGTCCACCGGGCATGCAAAGCCCCCGCCCAAATGCATCTAAATGAAAAAGACCCAAACGGTCAATCAAATTTATCATACCAACAAAAGTGCGCTATAACGTATAGAAACAAATATTGTTATCATTAAATGGGGTTACTACGATAATACAAATCTATACAAAAAAGTTTAGAATAACTATCCATGAAATTTGATTTTCTGAATAGGTAGAAACTTACACTGTCCTCCTACCTGCGATCGGTGAGCGCAGGTCCCCGCAACTATGATGGACGGAGTTTCCGCCCAAGCCCGGACTTGGTGATCTGGAAGCTGGTGGAAGTCCGAGAAGCGAATCTAGAACATCTTCCATTGTAGTAGAATTGGGGCTTGGCTTATTAAGAATAACAGTCTTTATTATTTCTGGTGTTCTTTTGCAGTACGGGGAGGTGACTTCCTCCTCTGAACCTATTACCATAAAAAAACACTTAAAACTTTGTCAATTTTTTTTTTCAACAGGATTTTCTCTCAATTTTTAAGAAAAAAATATTCTTTCCTTGACTCTCTCACACACTTTAATTGCATCATTCAGTCGTTAGGAGCAAAAATACAAGCACAACAGCACACATAAGCACACACCAAAAACTAACTAAACGCGTCTATTTAAGTCTTTAGCAAGTTTGCACGTGTAAAAGCACCCATTTTTCTCCCTCTTCCCTCCCAAAAAATGTATGCTATTCCATATGAGCATCATCCTTCGAAAAAAAATTCTAACATTTTTTTTTAGAATTTTTCTGGGAAAGAATCAAGTTGGTTTCCGAATTTGAATCAGCTCCGAACTCTCAAACTCGATTCTTTGGGCCCTATCATTGCAATTGCTAGACTCAAAAACCATCCATCTCAGTTCGGAACATTGGAGATCTAACCAACTTCAATTTAAATTGAAACTGAACAACCCGATTTTTGAATTTTTGAAGAATGAGTTGGTAGTCTGCAAAAATTTCAAGAAATAAAGCAATGGCTGACGTGATTTTCAACCACAAAAAAAAAACAAAGTAAATGAAAAAAAATAAGAGAGAAAATTTTGAAAAATCATAATCCAGAAAGTGAGCCAAATTTGTCTCATTTTGGATGGCATCTCCACCAAAGGTCTCAATCACAAAGAAAAAAAGGATTTTAATGGTTGTAAAAAAAAAAAAAACACTTCATGGTGTAAAAACTAAATTTTCTATTACCCTGGAGCAATTTTCCCTAAATCAAGGATTGGACTGCTAAAGTTGAAAAAGCTCATCTCGAATTGAAACGTTGCAAATTTTTGCTCATTATTTTTCTCTTAACAGAAAACTAACAGACAGCTTTTCTTAAATTTTTTGAGAATTTTGTTTTACTTTTTATTTCAAAAACAGACAAGAAATTCTGAGAAAATATTTTCCTCTGTTTTCTTTACAGAGGATAAACTGCAAAAAAGATACGCATTTTTCGACTTTACCTATGTTAGTGATGGATATAATTTTTTAATAAAAACTGATCATTGTAAATGGTGATTCACATCGTGTTATGTTTAGTTGTTAGTGCACTCGAGCACATGCATTGTTAGTGGGTCACTTATTATTGAATGAGACCACTCACCAGTTTTACCTAAAATCATATGCTAAATCTGACTTGATATAGATTTTAAAAGGTTCCCAAATTTTCAATAATATTCTGGAAAAGAAATAGATGATCATTAATGATTGCTGATAAAAGATGATGCCTGATGATGGTTGATCATTGGTGATAAACCTTTCAAAGCAGTAGATGACTCAGTTGAATAAAGGGCACATGAAAAAAAGTAAGTAACTATTCCGGAAGTTTTGAATGGAAAGAAACATTAAGTGCAATAGTGAGGAAAGGTACTAAAGTTACTGTGATACTCCCACACTATGCATCACGTTTGCAGCGTTCTAAAATCTCCATGGCCATTTTATTTTTTTGAAGGAATACAAGTCAACACCATTCCTTAAAGTTTTGTCAAAATTTTAAAAATATGAAAGTTTTCAAGAATTGACATTGAGTACTCAGCATTCAAAAAATAAAATATGACTGGAAGTCTGCCACGTCGCAAACCAAGATACGTGGTTTGGGAGTTTCACCACTTTGAGCATAATACACAAAACAAGCCTATCTGCAAGGAAACATCCGTCTTTCTCCTCCAGGGCAATTCATGCCTTTTTGCTGCTTAGTCACTCATTCATAGCGGAACTTGCGAATCCAATTTTTCTGATTCAGTTTCCCAGCTTATATCCTAAAATCCAATCCACCTCTTTAACTGATGAGCTTTTTCTCAGAACTTCTGGTACGAATAGATCTCTTCGTCATAAATGCATCCAGCTCAGAATCTTCAACACAAACTGATGGATAAGTTTTGAATTTGTCAGAATACCTATCAAGACTTGAATGAACAATCTTAGATATCTAAATTTTGTGAAATTTTACTTGGAAACATTTTACTCAAAAAGCAGTGGTACAACAAAACACTATCCTGCCTCAAACTCAAACTTTACCAGATAATTGATACCATCTATAACACAGGAGCAAAACATAGCAAAAGAAAATGTAGTGCAAGTGTAAACATGCATGGGACCGGTGCTTTTCTACGTGCCACAGTTCACTTTGGTTTAAGATTAAGAAGAAAATTTTGAGTTTTAATGATATTTTTTACTGTTGTTATAATATTAATCATACAGATATAAATTTTTAAAAATTTTAAATACATTTGTATCTTGTTATGTTTTCGAAGCGGGATTAAAAGTAGAACCTTATTTCTGGAAAATATTATTTTGAGACACACTAAAACAAATAAAAAACTCTTCGGAGCTTAGAAAAATGAACATCATCTCAGAGAAAGATTATTTTGAGAAATGCTAAAACAAGGTACAATTGTAGGCTAGAACGTTTTGTCAAGAAATTTCAATGCTAAATTTTTTCGTTTCTTAACTATCATAAAATTTGGTGATGGTTCCACCAATAAATTTTATGCTACAATTGACATACTTCATTTGCCAACAATACAGTTTAATTTTTATACCATGCGCTATTTTACACGTCCTTATTCACTCACATGAATCATTGTCAATGAATATTACTTCATTATGTTTTTTTTTTTTAAAAAAAAACTACGATTTTTTTCAGTTGTAAAATAAATTAAAAATTTAGTGTCCATGCAGCCTGTGGAATAACTGCATTAATCTTACTATTTAATTCGGAATGGTTTTCATGGGTCATGTAGCTCAGATGTGACAGCTTCAACTAGTTAGGGAAGGAACAAGCTAAAAAAATGTGGCACTTCTTTCAGACAGTACTGCATGAAGACTATCCCATTTACTGTTCACTACATTTCCTTACCACAAAACAGGAGATGGATTATGGGTTTCTATAAGTGTCCTGAAACTTGTATTCTCATAATAGTGATATTTAGAAAAACTTTTACCCTCATGAGCGCTGTTGTATGGGTAAAGCTACACCTATGGGCAGTGCTCCCAATAATTTTTGATGGTGGCAATTTACGATTCGCGAAAAGGATCGCAAACATTTCAGGTTGTTCCATAGATTAGATAGTAGTGCTTTAAGATAATATAGGTCTACCGTGCACCATTAAGGAAAGGTTCCATATAAAATTGTGGAACCCTGGAAGAGTTAGAATGAAAATGCTCTATCTAATGATAAAAACTGACAGCAGTGTAACAATGGTGAAGTCACAAAATCACATATCTACTTTGTGCCATTGAAGAGTTCTCACCTCATTTTATTTTATCAAAGGATGACTAATTCCTTTCATGGCGCAAAATTTCATGTGAAAATTTTTCACCTTTTCTAGAATATCCTCCGGATATGTCATTCAAAAATGTCGCATACAGAATTCTTTTTTGAAATACTAAGGTAAAAGTGAAAATTTTGAAACATCAAACTCTAGATATGTGATTTTATAGTTTCACCATTGATAATCTAAAATGCACGATGACTAAAACAGAAAAACTCAACACACAACAGCCATATGGAGAGGAAAGTTTGTGTTCAAGATAAAATTCAGCGGGCAAACATACAGATAGCTTTTACAGGAGCAGAGAGAATGTATACTCATAGCTTTCTAAACATTCTGGTACTCTCAGTTATGGTTTTCCATTTAACTTGATCGCAGAAAAGGCTTCAAAATAAAATTCCCAAAATTAAATTGTTTTGATTGAGTTATGTTCAATTCTATCGGCACACATTAGTTTGTTGATGGATAGAACTTCGAGGGATGCGTTTGCTCACAGAAAATTATCGCAAACGTGACAGAAAGTTGAAATTATGTTTCTATATTCATTTTTCAACCTCATACGTACCAATCTCAAGAAAATCGGGTCTGAAAAGGGTTACTGTACGAAAAAATGGCACCTTCGCTGGGTCAAAGATGTGAATCCGTTTGTTTCAAACTGAGTTCATACCTCTCCGGCAGGCACAAGACAAAGAGGAGCTAGCTCTTTCGTTTTTCCGCTTAGTAATGCCCGTAAAGCTATCAGAAAATACAATTTTCAGACCTGATTCTTACAAGATTGGTACATAGAAAATTCGATTTTAGAAGTTCATCTTACTCAGAAAATCGTACGGAACATCATAGCAATAAATCTCGAAATTTAGCCGGCGCTGAATTTCTCAGTATTCCGTGCGTAATCCTTCTTCAGTTTTATTTTCCATGTAAGGTATCTCGTAAAGTACATCAAAAAAGGTATGAATTTTTGGCAAATATTTGCGCGTATCATTTTTTCTAATACTTCATTTCAAATTTCCTGAAATGTGATCTTCAATTGAAGTCTTGCTAGAGTTCTGGAAGACAGGATTTAGTTTTATTGGTAAGCGGATTTCAATGTCATTATACCCTCTCCCGCGCTGATCAAAATTCCTCTGCTCAGGATTGTGCCCCGAGTTCGGCCTCATCAGAGGAAACATAAATTTGAGTCTGTTTTCGTGGAATTCTGGATGAATCAAAGGAGTGCACAAAACTTTGAAACCAGATTATTCAATTTTTGAAGTTTGATTCTTGAGATTTGCCCCTTGTATGAGTTTATAATAACATGAAATAGCTACTTTGAATTTTATGAACATAAAATTCTTGAAACTTTTGGACAGAAGGAACCTTCCTATTAGTTGGTTATGACTTTCAAGACTTCTCCTCGAGACAAAGAAAAGGATCTTGATAAATGCTTTTATCTCTTATAAAGGGCTGACAACCCCGGTCTGGACAAAATATTATATTGTAAAAAAACAAAAGGCAAATAACTTTCATAGATATATTGAACAATTTAAGTGGAAAAATACAATTTACAAAAAATTTCTGATGACAGGAACATTACGTTTACACACCTGGAGTAGAATTGATCTAAAAATTTTAGTAACTCCCTGTGACTTGTTAAAAAGCCTCCTCAGGCAAAAATGTGACCTAAATGCAC